AGGATAGATGAACATTTGAAGCACTCGGAATATTTAAGGGCTTTGCTGAAGACATGCCAAACCTCGACAGTATCTTCTCGATGTAGCTCTTCTGTGACAAGAAAAGCTTCTTCTTCGACCTGTCCCTGTAAATCTCTATACCCAAAATCTTCTGAGCAACTCCCAAATCCTTCATCTCAAACTCAGCACTGAGAAGCCCCTTTAACTTCTGGATATCAGACTTTGACCTCGCAGCTATGAGCATATCATCCACATACAGAACAAGATAGATCATCGAACCATCCTCCACCTTGTTGTGATACACACAAAAATCATATGGACTTCTGCTATAGCCCAGCTCACGCATGTAACTGTCAAATCTCTTGTACCACTGCCTCGGAGACTGCTTAAGTCCATACAAGGACTTCTTCAGCTTACAAACATAGTCTTCTTTTCCCGGGACCTCGAATCCTTCTGGCTGAGTCATGTAAATTTCTTCCTCCAACTCTCCATGTAGGAAAGCTGTCTTCACGTCTAGCTGCTCGAGCTCCAAGTCATAATGTGCCACTATTTCTAATAGCACTCTGATCGAAGTATGTCTGACCACTGGTGAGAAAATCTCATTGTAGTCAACTCCTTCCCTCTGCGAGAAGCCTCGTGCAACCACCCGAGCTTTAAATTTCATGCCCTCATTAGAAGTGATTCCTTCCTTCTTCTTGTAGATCCACTTGTTTGTAACAATCTTCCTTCCCTGTGGTCGTTTGACTAGCTCCCAAGTCTGATTCCTGTCATGGGATTCCATCTCATCTCCCATTGCGGCAAGCCACTGATCAGCTTCACCACCCGAAACTGCTTCTCTGTAGGACTGTGGCTCTCCTGCATCCACTTCTTCAGCAACCTGAAATGAATACGCCACCATGTCCTCGAAGCCATACCTCTGTGGAGGTACTCATGCAGTCGCTCTCTTCAGTCTACCGGAAGCAATAGACTGTTTAGCTCGTGCACTGGACTCTGAATTTTCTGGCTCTGCAGAGACATCCTCATCATGTTGATTTTCTCCACCTTGGTGCTCAAACTCACTCTCATTGAGAGTTTGCAGCTCCACCTGTTTATTAACATTTCTGCTACCTTCAACAACAGTAACCTTCAACATGGGGTTAAACATAGACTTCTCATCAAATATCACATTTCACTGAGTATAACTCGATGCTCAGAAGGTGACCAGACTCGAAATCCCTTAACTCCATCTCTGTAACCCACAAATACACCCTTCTTTGCCCTTGGGTTCAGTTTACCCTCATCCACATGGTAATAAACAGGACACCCAAAAACTTTCAGTGAAGAGTAATCAGCAGGCTTACCATACCACACCTCATAAGGAGTCTTCAACTCAATACCTGTGTGAGGTCCACGGTTGATCAGGAAGCACGCCATGTTCACTGCTTCTGCCCAGAATCTTCTCTTTAGTCCAGCATTAGAGAGCATGCACCGTGCTCTCTCCAACAATGTCTGGTTCATCCTTTCTGTAACGCCATTCTGCTGGGGTGTATCTCTCACAGTCCGATGACGGGCAATCCCTTCATCCTTGCAGAATTCGTTGAACTCAGAATTACAGAACTCCAGACCATTGTCCGTTCGCAGCTTCTTGATCTTCTTCCCGGTCTGATTCTCCACCATTGTCTTCCACTGCTTGAACTTCGTGAAGGCCTCACTTTTCTGCTTCATCATGAAAATCCAAGTAAATCTCGAATAATCATCAATAATAGACAGAAAATACCTGCTGCCTCCAATGGATTCAACTCGTGAAGGACCCCAACAGTCAGAGTGGAGGTAATCTAGTATCCCCTTCGTCCGGTGGATACCCTTCTTGGGAAACTTGCTGCGATGTAGCTTCCCAAACACACAATGCTCGCAGAATTCCAAATTCTGCATCTTGTGCCCGCAAAGAAGATCCCTCTTCGACAGAACTTGCATCCCCCGTTCACTCATATGTCCCAGTCTCATGTGCCAGAGAGTGGTCATATCTTCCTGCTGAACCTGAGACGATGCAACTGCAGCAGAACCAGACAACACAGACCCTTGTAATGCATACAAGGTCACACGCTTCACGCCCTTCAGCACCTTCCTTGAACCTTTGCAGACATACAAAACTCCACTTTTTCCTTTGAAGCTGAAACCCTTGCTGTCGAGTAGACTCAAGGAGATCAGGTTCTTTGTCATTCGTGGAACATGGCTGACATCATTCACGGTACAGAACGAACCATTATGTGTCCGAACCTTTATGGACCCGATTCCAACAACCTTGCAGACAACACCATTAGCCATGACCACGTTACCACCATATATCTGCTCGTAGGTTGTGAAGCAATCCCTGTTCGGAGACATATGGTATGAGGCTGCAGTATCCAAAAACCACACATCCCCACGATGTGCCTTCTCATCTACAGCCAAGGCGAGATCGTCTTCAGAACTGTTGTCCGCTTCTGCCACGGCAACTGAACCTTGTTTCTTCTGTTGCCCTCTTCTCTTGGGACAGTTGTACTTCCAATGCCCCACTTCCTTACAGTTGTGACAAGCATCACCTGGCTGTGGACCGGGACCCTTGGAATTCTTGTTCGAATTCCCTTTACCAGATTTCTTCTTTCCCTTTCCACCTGTAACAGCCAAACCCGATGCCTCACCACCTGTACCAGATCCAGACGCCTTATGTCTGATCTCTCTCGTATGAAGAGCAGACCTGACATCCTCCAACGACACGCTTTCTTTACCAGCAATAAAAGAATCAACGAAATTCTCATATGAACTCGGCAAAGAAACCAGCAGGATTAGGGCAGCATCCTCGTCATCAACTTGAACATCTATATTACGCAGATCCAGCAAAATAGAGTTAAGCTGTTCGAGATGTTCCCTCAAAGGCGTACCTTCTTGCATCCTCAAGCTGAACAACCGTTGCTTGAGATGCAGCTTGTTGGTTAAGGACTTCGTCATATACAGACTCTCCAACTTTAACCACAAGCCCGCGGCAGTCTTCTCAGCAGCGACTTCAATGATGATGTCATCAGACAACGATAGCATGATGGTTGAGTGGGCCTTCTCCTCCAGGGTATTCCACTCATCGTCATCGACCGCTGCCTTCTTCTGTTTTGCAGACAGCGGCCCCCACAACCCTTGCTGTTTCAATAAAGCCTGCATCTTGATCTGCCATATAGCGAAGCTGTTCTTCACCGTGAACTTTTCGATCTTCATGTTCACCGACGTCATTCTTCTGAATCGAAAACCCTAGCCTGATTTCCAGCCGCGGCTCTGATACCACTTATTATAAACGCGCTGCTACGGATCGGGAAAACGCAGGAATCGACAAAGCAAGAATACGAAAGCGAGAATCGAAAACACGACACACGATTTACGTGGTTCACTAACACGATGTGTGTTAGCTACGTCCACGGGCGAGAGAGAGCCAGTTTCACTATATCAAGGAGATTACAGATTACAGAGGAGTATGAGAAGTATTTATAGTACTTCTCCATGTGGGTCTAAACCTAATCCAATCTGGCAAAGGAAACGGTTACAGACCAGGCCCAGAACCCGATTACCAGTCGTAGTGGCTGATAATCCGATTCAAGTCACATCAACAATACACTACATCGTCTTTCGGAGTTCATATAGCTTTGAAGTTGCGCGTACGACTGTGTTCCCAAATCAAAGATGCAAATAATGTAAGGCAAGCTGATTCAAAATTGATTAGACTTGTCCCAATCGAAAACATACCCCAGTGGTGAGGTTGATCACCAAACCGATGAGTCGATGACCATTAATATTCAGTACTAGGGGTGTTCAAACGGTGTGGTTACTATGGTAACCGTTTTAACCAGTATTATTTGGATAATTTGGTTTGGTTTGGTTTGGTTAAAGTTTTTACCTTGTTTGGTTTAGATGGTTTGGTTTCAGTCACACCAAATTAACCAGATAAATAATTAGCCATATATTTAATATGTACACATACTTAATACTTTGAATAACCACTCAAGAGAGTTAAACGTTCATTCTTTTAGACTCATATAATATAAAGCTTGATATTGTTCCTATAATGTATATTTGTATATGTAGAGTGTAGGCCACAACATATGAATGTCTAATTTAGATAAATCTCATACATTATGTTGGATGAAAACTTGAAATTAAGGTCCTTTTCAGCCTATGAAAATTGCTAAAAGACTAAGTCAATTCAAACAAGCACAACAATTCATTAACCCATACCATTGTGATAAATTTTTGTTAAGTGAATACCTTTATACTAACCATAAGATAATTGTCTTAGTTGCATGTATTTATGTTAAGGGTCAACTATAACTATGTGTTGATTGTTATGTTTTATTCATTACATAAATTGTGAATTGATAAATTAACCGAAAAATTTCTCACTTAATGATAATATGATTTTATATTGGTTAATCTAGTTAACCAATTAACCAAGTTTGGTTAATTTGATTGTTGTATTAGTTTGGACGGTTTGGTTATGATATTGTATTCCATGGTTAATGAAATTTAGCCTTATTTAGTTTGATAATATGGTAACCATTTGAATACCCTATTCAGTACAACGGCTGACCCCGCCCGTGATACTTTCGCACCAACAGAAGCACCCAAAATCAATGGGAACACAGAGAAAACGAAGCGAACACAGACCGACAGAATTTACACCATGTCCAAGAGGTTCGAGAATTCCAAAATACGAACACAGAGTAGTAACATAATTGCAAATGCAGATACAGAGAGATAAAGACCTGACGAGGATTAGGACCCCCAATAGCCGGGGTAAATATCCTTATATGTTTCCATATGGAGTCATTATTTGGCAAACATGAGGCCCCATTCGGACTCCTAAACTCAAAACTGAAGGACCATTATGTATTCCACCAATTGTAAACTCATCTAAAGCTCCAGGTTTTATTAATACAAAACTTCAGCCATGATGATAGAAGACCGCCATCAGCCGCTCAGTACACATCATCCACTTATTCTTATTCATTTAACCATGGGAACATTTTTGGTGATGTCGGAAGCCGTGCAGTGAGCACTTCAACTCCCGTCTCTGTCACCTGAAAAATCATATACCAAGAGAGGAAAAGGATTAAAGCTCAGGGAAAGTAGAAGAGAGATCAATCCGATGATTAAGCACAGGTGTGGTCGCACAATATTGTTGATATAGTGCCAAAATCTACTGAATTTTGATCAGGAATCACAGAAAGTCCAAAAGATTCTGAAAGCATGCAAGTACCAACAGAGTGTGCTCAAACTGAGCACTGCGTTTGCCATCTGCAGTCACAGCAGTCCATCCATCAGGCCACATCCGATCTCGCCAAGCACCTAAATATATCAGGACAACCATGCCATTCCGTCATGATAGTTGCTAGCAAGGAATGTTCAACTTATAGATACCTAAGAAGCATTGACCCCGTCGACAAAGTTAACTACCTGCATTAATCATCGGTTCAATGGTGAAGGTCTGTCCAGCCTTCATCACACCAACTGCTTTATTTCCTGTATTTATGTTAAGGTTTGCAATTCACAAATAATCCTGAATGTTGCATTCATTATTCACTTAATCTACATTAATATCTGAAAAAGAGACTACTTTCATGGCTGCATTAAAAAGGATACTTGCATAGTGAGGAATGTTTGGAGCACAGTGGAAAAGCTCCCCAATACCGTGACCACAATATGACTTCACCTGTTCACAGAGATGGGAAGAATTAAGAAAGAGGGAGGGAGACATCATCAAATTAAGCGAGTTTAGTACAACTATAGATCTACACAATTTAGGATTGAATACATACCACAGACAAACCCGACATTGTCGCATGTCGATTAATAACTTCTCCAACTTCACGAAATCGCACACCAGGTTTCACTAAATTCACACAAACATCGACACAAAAACTCAGAAATTAAGTCATTGCATAGGTAAAGGTGGTGCACAATCTTAATACCACCTAAATTAATACACAGACAATTGATGTGCCCAGAAGGCTTGTTCTTTCTCTAAAAACTTTTCCTGCTTTCAACACTCAAAATCATCAAGTAGAAAGAGAAGAGAGAAAAATGAAGACTATGACATAACCATTCCTCCAGTAGCATACTTAAGGGTCACAAAAGTTGAAATGAACCGTAATATTAATATAGATAGAGGCCACATACCAATTTGGATTGCTTTTTCCAAGCATTCATAAGTGCATTGGACCAGCTTTCGAGATTCTTCATCAACATTTCCAACAAAGTACGTTTCATTAAGATCACCTGCAGAAGGGATAAAAAAATGTTAAGCTACCGAAAAAATATTGAATTTGTATACCCCAATAAAGGTCAAACAGATCTCTTACCATGAACACCTTTGTAGTACACAGTTACATCAATGTTCACGATATCACCATCCTCTAACCTCCTGTGATGTTAAACATCAATTAGTTTCGACCAACTACAATGTATTTGTGAATCCAATATAAACGCTCATAATAATTACAGTTATGGATGTCAAATACAAATGCTCATCGATGTAAGACATCTCCATCTTCCAAATTTAGAAAGCTATACCAAGGGAAACTTTAAACTAGAAGATGAATGGGCATACCTAGCGTCAGGAATTCCATGGCAGATGACCTCATTAACTGACCTGCAACAGACAGTAATATCTTCTAAATCATAAAGTACACTCAACCAAATTCAAAAGTGACCACAGAAGGCTACATACGTGCAGCATGATTTCGGGAAGAAGTGATAGTTCAGAGGAGATGGGTATCCACCTGAAAGAAAGAGTTTTAGGCACAAAAAGGTAACGATAGCTCATCACCAATAACTAATTGTTATGCTGTAGAAAAAAGTAAAATACCAGCTGCAATAGTTGCCTCATGGACCACTCGATCAATTTCATCGGTTGTAACACCAGGAGCTATTATCCTTGCAGCTGCATCCAAAACCTCCCTTCCAATCTGCAAGGAAAGACAGTTCTTGTAGTTACAGACTGAAAGAGAGAGAGGAGAAATGTAGCCTTGCACTCACACATCATCTACTATTAGTCGGAACATGAAACACAATATGTCAAGCATAAGTTAGACAATGCCCACACATGTACACATATTAGTCGGAACCTGCCTTTACACACCTGGTCGCTTGTGCAGTATCAAGTAAAACATAATACTTTTTCCTTCTTTGATTTTCTGTTGTTAAAAAGGCCATTCAAGCATCTTATCATTATCCTTATCTGAAAAAACTTTTGCTGAATACACATTTGTATAACATACAAATCCCATCTGTCTTGAAAAATATCAGCTCATAAAAGCAGCGGAATAAAACGGGCGTGAAATTCTCCTACTTTAGGGATCTCGAAGGAATATAAACTAAGGAGAGACTAAGCATCAAATAGAAAAGATGCGAAAGTGTCAAAACACCAGCGAATACCAGCGAGGATTTAAAACTAATGCAACAAAATAGAAGTAGCCACAATAAGGACACAAATTTTTCATTATCCAACTTCAAAGAGGAGATACACTTACTCGGCAAGTTTCTCGCATTCTCTGAATTTGATCTGGATTTTTTATCTGGAATACGAACCAATACAGCATGATTAAAAAGCCAAATAGGAAAGGATAAAATATATCAGGAGGAATTAAAATGGTTCAGATGTTAAGATGAGGATAAAAAATAGCAATTACCTCAACGACATGTTGAAGATCACTGTTGGGTTCAATTTTTGGGGTGCCCTGCAGATGAGAGTTGAAAATAGTTGAAGTATTTATAGAAGAGAGCCAAAACAAACAAAGTACAGAATTGTCAGCAAAATGAATTCCTTGAGATGAGTATATGCCAATAACCATAAAACTAAGTGGATTTATGAAGTGCAAACATTATTGACCTAGAAAAGAAAGCAGCAACATAATGTGCCTCTCATGAAACAAAAAGACTAAACAGAAACCTCTGACAACTCACATCTAATGCCCAATCTGGTTGTTCAACATGAGCAGGTATAGCACGCTTAGGAGAAATGGGATATGGCCTTAGCGCCCTGAGAAAACACAGCCACCATATCAAAGAGGTAAAATAGAGTAAGATACATACTGTCAATCAAGAGGCAACGAAGAAAATGAAAAATGAAACACAAAAAGGACTTCACAGGTGATAGTTTAAGAAAACAGGATAGCGTCTATATTGCAATTCATATAGTTAACCATAATTATACACCTGTGCAAGTTTATGGCCAGGTTTGTTTCGGCTTGCCTAGGAAACCTGAAAACTTATATACGGAGCTTCTAGTGGCAACTGGACTAGAATGTCTAGCAGGGAATACCTAAAATGTAATGACAAAAAATGACTTAAAATAGATTATCTTTGGAATAGCAAAATATGTAGGGATAGATTGTAATGACAAAAAATAGGTATTGGGTGATGATTAGTTTATTTTTCCCAAAGCATCTAATCTATGATGAGGAGAGGGGGACGAGGTGGAAGTAATCAATAGTGACTGCTGGTAAACAGTCGAGGGTTCTTTTAGAAGTTTGTTTGGGCTTTACTGAAAGAAGCTCAAGTACAAAATGGGTAGAAAATGCATCTAACTGATAAATGATTGTAGGACAGAAACACCAGAAGCTAGTCCACGTTGTTCCTCACCCCACCCAATCTGATCAAAGTCACTAGCCAAAGATAATTCTCAATAACCAGAAGCCACAGATCAACCAAATTTAATAATAAGCACCAGTTAATAAGTGATGTAAGGTAAGAAGACAAGGAGTACTCAGAATATAAGTAAATAACAGAGAGAAATACCCTGTCCAATCAAACTGAGGAAGTTTGGAAGTTCGACCCTGCCCTTTCCTCAAGCAATATAGCCAACCCTCAGGCAAATTTGACTTCACGTCGTCTGTTCCTGTCCCGATGGAGGACAGCTTCGCTTTCAGATGAACAGATTTATGAGTGCTCCATGAAGCCTTAAAACAATCCTGTGTGCTGTAAAGAGCCATAGAATCACAACCTTCAAATGTGTATGGGAACTATATAAATTATTTCACTTCGATTGCAAGCAGAAAGTGAAAATGCAATCATTATATAAGCAGTCAATTCCTTTCTAGCTTTCACATGGTACAAAGACATCATGAATCACACGATACGACCTTTGATAATAACACCAGAAGCAATAGCCGGCATATGAATCTTCCAATAACTGCAACTACATACAAAGACTTTTGTTCACAGTTATTAACCAACGGATAGTGAAGGCTGCTTTGAGATTCTCAATTCATGAGCTAACCTCATTCCCACCTACATTGACCATGATATGTAGAAGAAAAGAACAGGGTTCCTCATTTCTTATAGATAAGAAAAACTAATGAATCGTAAAATACATAAATGTTCATACTGAATGCCCTCAACACTGTCTTGTTAAAGCATGACTAAGCAAAAGAGTGGCCCTTAGACAAAGGAAACCACTAATGGCGAAGTCATTAAAGGCAACCTAGGATGACCATTCTTCTTATTAGTCTGCAACAAGAGCAAAATGAAACTGCACGATAAGTTTATTGTGGATTCGAGCACATACCAGAATGAAGCAGCTTCGCGAGGAAGCTTTAATTCCACACACTTAGGGCACCTGTTTCAAAAATAAATGCAACAAAAAATATTAGAGAGGAAGATGTTGTAGCATCAGAGATTACAAAAATAGGTCCACAAGAACTCGTGAGGTACATTGACTAAATGGAAACTATAATAAGACTAAAAAAATATTACATACTGCAGCTGTGCAGGCTTGCCGCATTGAGCACACGACAGAGTAGTTGTAGTCGCAACATCTGTGCCGCCAGCCATCAAACCTCTTAAGTTGCACTCTCTGCAAAGAGAAGTAGCCAAATTTGCTGTAATGGAGAAGGAACTCGACAGATAAGGTTATATCAATGAAGAAATGAATTTTGATTTGTTTCTAACTTGGATGTGATCAGAATTCTGGCAGCAACGAAATTAAAACGTATAAACTAAGACTAGTTCTCAATTCTGCTTCCAAAAGGACTCAAGTAACCCTACATTTCTGGAAGTGCAACAATGGATCTGAAGCATGACGACAAAGAGCATAAACCTAGCACGTATCCAGCTGTTAAAACAGGATCCATCAGAGTTTAATAATCGAAGACCAGGTCGCAAGCTTGCCAACCAAATCAACATCAACAACACAACACGTGTAAGCATTGATGTAGAATCGTAGATGCATCAAGCAAGCAACGATGATGCTAATCCATTCCCTTAAACCAGACATTTGACCTAGAAACGAATCATAAGTAAAGGCCACGGAACCATCAACCAGCTACATCCACATATGTGGAAAGTCACAACAGCAGGCAGGTTATAGTTGCAGCTGACACAAACAGCCAGAGCCATCGAGGCCAATCACACAAGGAGTCTCTCAACCCGACCGCCAATACTTGCATTAGGAAGGACGCAAACAATACTAATAAAACTCAATCCCAAGCACGAACCGAATATGTAAAGAAGCCAGCACAAAAGGCTATCCATGGCAGCAGGAGGGAGAAAAAAGGTACGAAGAAAGGATACCTCGGAGTGCAGAAATGATGATCGGAAACGGCTGTTAGCACGCGACAGCTCCGAAGCGGCTTTCTCTGGGGGATTATTCTGCTTCAGTCAGGCTTGTGCCTCACTCTCTCGCTTGTTTCTACGACCAGCCAGCAGGAGTAGCCAACTCGCTCCCTCGAGGTTGAGGCCTAGCTCTGTTGCCCTCTTCCCGCTTCTACAAATCAGGCAGCTGCGGCCTCTCCGTGTTTCGCCGCCTGCCCCCTTTGCTCGTTTAGTTTGGGTTCCTTAGGAAGGTTGACAAATGACAAACCAATTTAAACCATTCGGCCGATTCAACAACTGGTTTGACATTTTATGGTCGAAATGGGTCTAATGTGAACGTTTTATATGGATTTTGAATATTTGTAAGAAAAAAAAATATGGATTTTGAATATATAGTTCAGGTTAGCGTAACTGAAGAATGTACATTGTCCACCTATCGGGTTTTACTATTTAGAGTACGAATTAACCGGTGTTTGGAGTACGAACTATATCCTAACTTAACTTCGGTTCCTAATTCTCTAACCCAAACTATAAAATTTATTTAATCTAAAAAAAATAATCGAGGGTTTTAATTTAAAGAAATATATTAAAATGCAAAAATCAAATATGAATACTGGGTACCGTCTTTGCTATATATATATATATTAAGATAGTAAAAATTGTCTATGACAATTGAACTGTATCTTGTAAGTATCATTTAGTAATTTATCAGTTCATATATACATATCTACTGCAAAACCCTAGCCGCCCTATCACTGCACTCAGCGTCTCTTTACCTTATCTACTGATTACCATTTACATTGACGGGTTTTGCTATAAAACTGAACACCCGCTTACTAACAGGTTGATATAACAATAACTCACAATCCACCTACATATTTCTTTGAAATTCTACAATTGCTGTCGTCGGCGCCTCTGTCCGTTGAAGATCTCATCAGCATGGCATCCCGGAAGTTCATCCAGTCCCACTCGAAAGACATGTCGTTCGACGTCGCGACGGCCAGTGTCGATTCTCTCCTCTCAGTGGAGCAATCAGTGAGTCTGGAGCTCGCCGAGCTTCTCCTAGAAGCCGTGGAAAGGGTCGAAACCAGTGTTGTTGCTGTTGCCAACTTGAGATTCTCGAAAAGTGCTTTTATTCATATGCGTCGGCGGCGGGAAAAGAACTTCCGCCGATCTACAAGAAGAAGAGATTGAGCAATAAAAGAATTTTATTTTTATTTTTTAATGATGACAATAATGAGAGTGGAAATTTTGGAATATTTTATTTTATTTTTAATTTTTTAATTGTCACGTCATATATTTGATGGTCAATTTAAACAGTTGACTGTCACACGTAAACAAAAGTTAACGGTGATGGACAGAGAGTGACCAAACTTGATAAATTTTAGTAATTTCAGTGACCACGAATGGAATAAAATATTTTTAGTGATTAAAATTGACATTTTTTAATAATCTTATTGCCCAATCATGACATTTACCCATATATATATGTATCATCCATGTGTAAGGTGTTTGTGACGATCGCCGCAGGCAGACAGACAGACCACTCAAAAGTGTCGTAGTCCGAGTCTGACAATATAGAAAGGTCAGATTAAAGTGGAGATACCAAATTCGCAAGCTTAAATTAAATTAAACCAACTAGTTCACGTTCCCCATCTTACAGTTGGGAGATAAGCCTATGCGGATGGAAGTGTATCTTCCATACAAGTTACAAACCAGCGAATAGATCTGTCCACTCTGTTACAATGTCTGTGGCATGTGTATGTGTTGTGAATTGGTGAAAGACAAACCCAGAAATTAGATGAAGCTTGTTGAGTGTTGGATCAACCTCCTTTGGCCTATCGTGTCCTCTAAAGAACTATTCTGAGTCAGAATCTGACATAGGCATCTGGTAAGCATCTTTGGGTTCCGAATCTGTCATGGACGGCGGTTTATCTTTCTTTCGCGCATTTCTTGATCTCTCTCTTCGCCTTTTCACAGCTTCATCCTGGCATGCAATAGACACGAGTTGATTCCTTACCAGCACTAAGTAGGCAAAAACCAAATGCAAAATATATTGATGTATGGGGCACTATCAAGTTGATTCCTTTACCTCTTCAGCCGATTCATTCTGCTGGCCTGGCTGAGTGTGAGGCTTTTGTTGACTCCTGCTCAACCATATCGTCCCAAAAGACATTAAAGCACCCAGCAGTAGCATAGGCCCGATCCTCGGGTCTCCAACATGATCACTGATTCTGCTTATGATTCTGCGAAAACTGTGCTTAACCCCAATGCTTTTCGAAAGAACGCTTTGGGCACCTCTTGACCACATAGGTTCCGAGTCCTCAGGTACAAGATCAGGGGTTCTAGTTCTCTGCATAGGGCAGAAGCATTGGCTGAGAAGTTGAGCCAGAGCTTGTTGCTCATGAAACTTATGCAAAAAAATATTTGAAACATAGACGAATCCAACTGGTTCAAACATGGGTTTACCAAAATCCTTGGTTCAATCTAAAAATTGTCCTTCAAGAAACTAATGAATATCCTTTCAGAACCTGAATCATGAAAGATCGTGTGGTGGTACTGGACTTTTTAATTCCTACTCAACCAGTAGCAATAATTGAGAGTCTTACATAGAAAGGGAGATCCCTGGTGTCACCATCACTGATTGTTTGAGAGATCCATTTGATGATCTGCGCGACAGGATGTACAGAAGGTACGGAAAATATTACAAATTTACAAAGTAAAAGAGCTATAACAAATTAATTAAGGAAACTTGAGTCTAACAATACCAGCAATCACTAGTCGTTTGAGAGACTCAGTACCTCAGGGATCTCACTCGAGCCATTGTATCGTGCGACCAGTTGTGATGCAGGATCCACATCTTCATTTAGAAGAGCATTCCATTTGTTCTTTTGAGTTTTTTCAGCCTCAATATCAGCTTCAGTTTCATTCCTCTTATAACGTACAAGGAATAACCTAGGTTCATCAGTCACATCCCTCCTAGGTCCACAAGTATCATAGCTGGTTTCTGAATGAAGGTAGAATGAACAATATTTCTGGCCCAAACATGAAGAGTGAATTTGTTAATGGTTTTGGCAGAAAAATAGTTGGCATTATAAATCTTGGCAACAGGAATTGATCTGACCCTGGGTTCGCCTACATGAATCACTGGCAAATCAAACACCCCTACTCTGTGCAGGTGAACGCACTTAATACAACAGTGGTCTAAAACAGAAACGTAGTCAGAAAGAAAGATTATCGGCAAAGGTTCAAATTCAAACATGGCCAGTCGGGCCAAACCCTGGAACTAGTCGAGCTTTGCGAAAGCAACCTTCTAGATTTCACAAATGTCTTTCTATACGACCTTACCCTTAAAGAAGCAACGATTGGGCCAAATCATTATGACTCCAGATTCTGGGGACAATCCAGAGCTACTTCCTAGAGGGCTAGTAAAAGCTGGGCTCCATGCATTAGAGACCCAAGTAACTATTCCGTGCTTTTGCATATGCAGTTAATCTTGCTTTTGCTTCATACTTTCTCCATTTTTATGTCGTTCTTGTGATATGAGCTAACATTGCACTTAAATGAAGCATCAGTTTAAAGTGCACAATTTTCCACAAAAAAAAAAAAAACAAAAAAAGAAGGAAAAGTTCTAAATGCACCCTACCAAGTAATCATTTCACCATGAGTAAAGGATCTCAGGGATAACACATCAAATGCAGTTTCTTCGGAAGAAAGCGAAAAGTAAAGAAGAAACAACAATTGGCTCACCTCCTGAGCTTCCCCATCAAGCCATGCAAATGTCAATCGCTTACTTTTCAGTGCCATTACCATCGATGAAGACTGCTCTTTATCAATACTCAAGTCACCACCACCAGACTGTAGTTCTTGCACCCTGCGCAAGGTCTATGAGCTAATTTATTTAAAATCATTTCATGAATCAGGTTCTTCACATGAAAAAAAAAAAAAATCAGGAATCATGGAAATACGTCTCCTCCCTCAATCCTTCTCTTCTGCTCCTATTCCCTACTTAAATAACAACGAGAAGAAATAGCAAAGCACATTTTTTGTTCGGTAGAGAAATATTTTTCAAATACGCTAGCAAGGAAAGAATGAGATAAGTGGATTTCTAACCATACAAATTATGACAACAGCAGGAAAAGGTATTTACGTGTCAGAAGGTGGAAATAATTGGGAATTAATCAATTTCATTAACAATAACACCATTGGTATTTGCTTCAATGGAACAAGAAACAGAGAATTCCTACTTGGCACAGTGAATTAAAGTTAAGAATGCTTACTTCACGCATTTTGTTGAGTTCTGGGCTCAGTCTACCTGCTACAATAACACAATACCATGATGTAACATGATTTCCCGCTTGAGAGTATCCTCGGGCATCACAGCCAAGTTTTCTAGATGTCACGCTTCTAAGTTGAGGAAGTTCTGCAAACAAAAGGGCAGTTCAATTCCTCACTCTGATAGAGAAGCAACAAGTTATTATGCTTCTTTGTTTATAGGTGGTCTGGAAATATACAAAACGCTCATAGAAAAAAGTTATACAGAAAATATAACACTAGCACTTAGGCAATATGATGGTGTAATACAAGAAGAATAGAAACAGAACTGGGCATAACAAAAAGAAATGACATAAACTTAAAGCAACAAGAGCATGGACCCAGGAATTTATTGTTCTAAGAATTATGTCTAATCAATACAAGCTGAAACAAGCGCACTGTTGACACTCTAAAGTTCATGTCTAGAAATCATGGAAAGGTAACTTTTGGAAAATTCCAGCTTAATGGACCGATAAACTGGACCATGCAACTCTTGATGGTACAACATGGCTAACTCATGGATAAACTTTGATAAATTTTTCAAACCCCTTCATTGAAATTTATCACTTGCAACAAATTCAAGATGGAAGGATAACAATGACAGACCAACATGGCCAATGGATCTCCTTACCAACAATAATGTAAAATCGCATGAATTAACTCAAAGTGAACAATTATTAACTAACAAATCACTACCAAGAAACATATCAGCCACAATGAAATAGATAGGAAATCAAAAATACCATGCTGATTATTGTTTTCCATGAGGTCCAAGAGCACTGAATTGTTGAGTGAACCTGCATGATAATATACAGATTTGAGCTTGTTGCATGAAGCACAGTGATTATGACCCGGTTCAGAACATCAGTTGCCTATATAGAATATCATACAAGAGCATACCATGGAAGACCACAGGTCTGAGACCTGGATCTTTGACAAATACAACAGCTGGGGCAGATTCGATCTCAAAACTGCAATCAACAGCTAAAACACTCTTAAGCTCTGACAATCAGAAACATCAATTGAGATGTATGCAAGCTGGAATGAGGAAACCGTTCACATACGAATTCCACCAGAAGGAAAAATCCTCTTCACGCCATAAGACGAATCCAAAAGATGCATGAGCCCAATAATGTTTAGCTGCTTGACGAACAAATGGAGCCGCACGCTCCCCTGTCTTGGAGAAGAAAATGACTTTGACCTACAGGTTAGAACACAGAACTTTTAGGACAATGAAATCCCAGGCCCGTGTCAATCATGGGACAACATCAAAGCTTTCGTGTACAGAAACCAGCTATTTGGCACAACTTATGCCAACTACGAATTGATGTAAAACCTCCAGGCCTCTTTCATGAGGTCAAAAAGCAGCAAACAGAACCAGAACAAAATCTTGATTATGCTACTATGTCTCAGAAGCTAGCAAGCCTGCCATGGCAGAAACAATTGAACAGCTCAGATATTAACATTGAATTGTGATGAAAGTCATGTCGGTTTGTATTTCCTCTAGAAGAAAATAAAAAAATTAATTCATAATATCATAACTACCTTTTCATTAATTAAATATTCATTCCTTTAATTTCACCATTGAATTTATAATACTTGGTCTAATGCCTAGTAAGCCCTTAGTCATTTGACTAAACACTCCCTTAGTCATGAGATCTCCTTTCTCATATCAATAGTGTAGAAATATATATATCGATCTTCACTTTCTTAGTATCAATAATTAGCTTGCCTGAGAAACATGGCAAGATAAAACAGAAGAGGAATACACTGGTCACGAATTCATAAAATAGAATACAACAGACACAAGACAAAACACAAAAGAATGCCATGGTTGCTACTAATTTATCGCAAGTTTGACAAGATATTAGGAACAAAGCAAAAGCCCTTTAAGTGCAAATTGAATGAACCAAAAAATTATAATCAGTAAGATTTTCTAGAAAATACAGCAAGAGATAGGATCGGATTATCTAGGGTTACATGCACAATGTTTGTGGACCAAGCAGCAAAAGAAAAGGGGACAAAAGGGTAAACACTACCTTATGGGGACCACTCTTGGCCATGAAATTTTGTACCTGATTTTAAAATACAAACTCATATCAATTCCAATCCATATTGAGAATAAAGAATAAGGAAATCACACTAAAAAGATAACGCAAAGATGCTAAACTGAAAGAAATTAGACAGAAGTTTTAACTGATCTCTTATGAAGTGTTATATGTGGATATAAGACAGAAATAAAAACATGTAGCACAAAGCATATTTCAAGCATCATCACAAATATGAATCACTGATATAATCTAGTATTGCAAACAAGTCTGTCAGCTTACTAGTGACTCCTTCGAATAGTACAGAATTCGAGGTAACCCTATAACAGAAGTTGCAAACCAGTCGGTGACAGCATCAACAGATAAATCTCCCTCAAACCTACAGAAAAATTGAGTTTTGGGATTAAGCATTACATATACACAAGCAAATGGTTTTGTGTGAATGTGGCAAAATCATTAGTGTATAGACAATGCAATCAAAGGTTCAATAGTTTTAATGTTTTCTTGACGAAGTGGACCACAATCCTGGTGATTCAGGCCAAATTACCTTAAAAGACAATCTGATGTCTGGCAGCCCGATGGAAGAGCAACAAGAGATGGGAGACCTGAAACCAATATAATAATGAAGTTAAAAAACGAGTGCACAAGTCAAGCAAACACACAAGGATAAAAATCAGTTATAGCAAACTACATGCACCTAAAAAGAATGAGGCCACAGATAAAACACCAATAGGTAAAGACGCATCATAGTGTTACTTCAGAAAAAGACTTGATATATCCTATAACCATGGATAACGCAGCTTCAGCCACACTTAATGCTGACGTCATAGCACCTTGATAATTTCTTTTTTGTTTCCTTCACAGAGGTACAAATGATTATATCAAACAATACCATTTCTGAAGAAGAACTGGCCAGTTGGCTTTCTCTCAGCAAATGATGTTGCCATTTGAACCTCACCAACTTCCACCATGCCAATAGTAGCAGTTCCTTCCAAAAAATCAGCTGGGCCAACAAATAAACAAATTCGAAACATTAAGTAAATCAGCTACTCAAGAACATGTGCAGCATCCAATAATATCAACAGCTCATTGACAAAATTGAAGAAGCACTCTTCACTTTAGAATATATTGAGCATGCTAAATTCATCAATGAGAGAGCTTCGTTATATCTACAATATTGACTGTGTCAAAACTCAAAACAGGTCAGCATCTTAACAAAAATAACAAGTCCAGAAAGAATCAGGCATGCTTTATTTACCACCCAGTCTCACAAATATTAACCACGAAGGCACTAGAAACAGCTTTAATGTGGAACCGGAAACCTGTGTAAAATGAAATTGCATACTCTAACCGAAGAACTGTAGGATTTTATGACATGGAAGGGTTATAGTTTATCAACAATAAGTTCCAAGTTTTACAAAACGTAACTGAAGCCCATCCTCATAAGCATCCATGCTGCATTTTCACAACATACACGCTTCTGGGGAAAGGCATGGCTCATTAAAATGCCTGATCATCAAACTCGAGCAGAATCATATATCTACTGGGTTCATTTATTCTCCACTACAAGAATCTTATGACTCTGACCATTTTGTTACATAGAACCCAATTAAATTTACGGTAGCAAACTCGTAAAAGCCTAAGATTTTAATCGTTTACTCAGGATTGTGACTACCATGACTGTCGGTATCCCTTAGAATGATTGTGCCGAAATGGAAGCTGTTTCAATTAGATGATTCTTGACAATTTAAGTGCTCAATTTAGCTTTAAGCTTGTTTTGGATGTCTTTCCAAATGCAAACCCTTTTGTTTTATAGGTGCAAGGGTGTCCTCAAGGGAACCTTGGTGGAAGGGTGAATCTGAACCTGGAACCTCCCTCAGGTGAGTCCAACACCTTAACCACTTGGGCTACAACCTTGTTGAGCCCAAATGGAAGACCTTACAAGTCTAGAAGAAAGCGCAAACAAACTTCATGTTTAGGAAAAGTAGCAAATCAGAAAATACTTAGTAACGGTAATCCAAAGTCAATGTAGATACTCCCACCATAATCTAACTTTATCGAATAAAAAAAGCCACTGAAAGACAAACAAACTGGCTAAACAATATTGGGGGAATTTAGAGACATATGTCCAAGTATAGAGCATACCAATTCGCTTCCAAGTTTCCAGAAATCTAGCACAACGGTTGCTTCCTTTGGAGTATAACTGGAACATGATATTAATAGTGATATTTAATGAAAGAGAGCATAAACCAATGAAACACATATAAGCAAACTCGAGTTAGTGTAAGTATGAAATAAGAAGTTATCCGATCAAAATTAAAGAGTAATGGGTGAAATTCACACCAGAAGGAGGAGTGGCTTAGAATTATTAGTTGCTCCATCCCAAGATGACATCCCGTTTAGAGCTTGATCTCCTGTAGAGATGAAAAATATATGATTCCTATGACGATCCAGGCATGATATTTCTCATATTTTATATTTAATTTTTGAAGGAGGAACCAAAACCAAACATACCAAAAGAGGTATCATTAATCAATGGAAGGTCGACATGTGAAAAGCTATCTTCAGCATACTGCAATTTGGCTGCGTCAAGAACCGACTGCAGAAAACAATCTTTAGTTGACCAGAACAACAGATGGCCAAATTAAAGGCAAGATAGTATAAAGGGCAAGCCGTTCAATTTGTTCAGTGACATCATCCCTGCTGCATTAGCTGGGCATTTCAGACCTCTTGCAGTGCAACAACAAAAAGAGGAGGTTATAGCTTCCAGTAAGATACATGAAGCAACATCGGCAAGTTGAACACTCACAAGTTGCTCATCAATGCCGAAATAGTCATAGTCCCTTTTCCAAATGGGATTCGTCAGCAACTCAAAAGCATATCGGACCTGCATTGACACATAAACAAGTCTTTTCACAAGATAACACAACAAAAGGCAGAATTCAAATGTTAGAGAAGAATTCATTCTCAGGCCCTGAACTCAATCAAAGATATTTGACATAGTACATTCTCGAGCCCTGAACTCAATCAATTATTTTGTTTGAAAATCTTCTTTGAAGGGAAAATCATAGTTTGGTATCATACATCTCCAAATTTGAAACCACTAGACAACATCAACTGACAACCAACTCCAATCTACGCCACCCACCCTATGGAATTACTCACATTACATCAGCAATTCAATCAATACTGCTCTGGCTTTAGTGCATCCTCCTTAGAGACAAGAAGCATGCATAAAATTCAGTGGCAAAAAGACCAAAAATCACGACAGAAGTTCTATATGCGCATGATAGAGATTAAGCTAACCTTGAGAAAATCAACAGTTGCAGGAATCTCCTCACCCGATCTCCTGAAACAATCAGAAGTTTGCTTTAAGTTCTAACAAGTCTACCTTTAAGTGAAACCTGTAAGGATCAATTACAACTGAACAAAATAGCTGGACCAGAAAAGGGTACCACTTAGAAGAGAGGCGCTCATAAGCATCTTTCACTTCTTCAACTGAGCTATAGCGTTTGATCCCCAGCACTGTCAGTTCGCGATCAATGAATGGAGTTCAACAATTGGCCCCAAAAGAAAAACAGTATAACGAATTCAGAAGTTAGATAAAAGACTCACCGTCGTAGTGGGAAGGAGGGAAAGAGTTAGGGAGAAGAGCAAGTTGATAGAACAGAGAAAGGGTGAAGAGAAGCAGAGGCAACGCATAGGCTTTCATCTTCCACGCCATTGATGAGCCTACAGGCTTTCCGTCTCCAGCCATGATTCTACTTATTACTTATTAGGTCGCTACCAGGAGGAAGAGTTTAACTTCGATTCCAACGGTAGAGGCAGGCGCAGGAAATACCGGGTTTGGTTTGCCGGCAGATTTTTTTTTTTTTTTTAAACCGCTAACGCATCGGTTACACCGAAAAAGTTAGTAGTAATCTGTAATAAAATCTTGATTTAACAATGGTTTGGTCATTTCCTAATGCTAAAACCGACTACTTTTCCGAACCAAAATTGGATATTTCTGATCAGATAGGCTTGTACAACATGATTTTTAAAATATTTCTTTTTTCACCAATTTGTCGCACATTTGTCACTTATAAATGTTTATCTAACTGTAAAATAAAACTAGCTTAATGCCAATCCAGAGTCAATTAAAACTCAACCGATTTTTGCATATAATATAACCAAAGACACAACATTGTAATCAATGAATTTGTGTATTTGGTTCATATCTCTAATTCAAAGTTAGGATGAAAACCTTGTCAGGAATAGTGTATACATAACTTTGATTGATATAAAAGTAAGTTAATCTTCTAATTAAGAGATTATACAAAAAGCAAGTAATGATTGTTTTCGTATTAAGAAGGCTCACTCAGGTATGAGTCCCCCTAGATTGCAGTTAGGTCAAGTTGTGATTCACATAAGTCAATTCGATTGATACTTAAACTACGGAAAGTTCTCAAAAAGTCTGGAGTCTCGACTAAAGTACTCCAGACCCTCAGTTTGAAACCTGGTAGGCGACTAACCTCCACCGGTATAAGCTAACTAAGGCAATAAGATTTAAGATTCCTCCACTAGATTTTACACCAGTACAGAGCAGTGAATCGACTCATCGACTAAAGTAGTAGTTTCACTACTTCCCATTCATGATACTCTTTCAACCTATGTAGAGACTATCATTCTAGGTCAAAGCAAGAATCACAAGAATTTGATCAGGGCGCAAGCACTTCTGAATCAATGCCTAAATTGGATAAAAGATAATCAATCAGTCATGACAAAGGTTCATATAACTCTTCCTAACATACAATATAGGTTTCTTAAATACCTAAGTGATAGAGGTGATTACTCCATAGAGAAAGAGTGGAAAGCAATGCCAGATGTGGAAATAATCGTGTAGACGGCAGAAATCTTCTCCGGGTTATCAATCATCACCCCTCGATGCTTGAATCGAGCTCCAATGGTGGGGAGACTTGATCTAGGGCACTCAAGGTTCACTCTTTGTCACTTTCTCTCTCTAAACCTCTATTTTTAGCTTAAAAATGGAATACCCATCAAAATTCTTGAGTCCTGCTTATAACCGCCCGAGTTGGGAATCCCCGGGTTCATTCCCCGGTCTGGTAATTCGAGACCAGACAGGGGAATTCACCCAAAATGTAGAGTCGCCATTTAAGTCTCGAAGACGATTTCCACGTCTGCCACTTGGAATCCTCGACCGAGGAAAAAGGCTCTCCAACCGAGGTTGTTCTTATTGTGTTCTCCAACCTCCGATGCATATCCCCAATCGGGGGTGGGATGAGATGACAGGGTATTTTGATCCTCGAGCTCCACGTTTCATCCACTCTTCGCTTTTGACCCGAAACTTGTTCCCAGGCCTTCATTTTCGATCCAGGTCTTGAAATACGACATACAAGCACAACCTAGCATGAAATCGGCTTAAAACACGAAGATCGACCCTCAAACAATCTAAGAATAGTGGAAAAAACATGTGGAAATATCGAGTTATCAAAAGGCACGAAGCATACCATCAAGATCGCAACCTCCAGTGCTGAGATCTTGGTCGCGAAGATTGGAGCCTCATGCACAAACTTCCCATCCAGCAAGGCGCAAAAGAGCTACACCCCAGATCGCGGCCTTGGCTCCAAAGATTGCGCACGCGATCATCCCTCATCCAGCCGTGAATTTGTCCTATTGCCAAAACTCTATAAATAGTGGATCACGTACCCTTCACAAAGGAGCTTAAATCACTTTGTGAAATTTTGGTTTTGAGAGAAAAGTTATAGAGAGAATTTGAAGGAAGGAGAAGAAGAAGAAAAGAATCAGGAGCTAAGAAGAAGGGAGCTCTCACCCAACTCAAGTCTTCTTCATAATTCTTTCATATATCTTCTTCCCCCCTTTATGGGGTAGTAACCTAAACTACTAGGGGTTTAATCCCCAAACCCTATATTTTGGTTTTATGATGTATAAGGTATTTTGTTAGGGTTTGTGAATGAAATGAGTTTATCAAGTGATTATATGCTTTTGTTTATGTTAATTGTGCTTGGGCTTGTCTTTCCATGCGATTTTCATGGTTGCCTACCTAGGGTTTGAATGAGATGGTATGGAATTGATTTGTTTGGCATGATTGAGTAGATGAATGATTTAGTGGACCAATTGGTGGACAAGGTGAGCATCCCCTTCCAATCGGGTGTCCCTCCTAGGTACTAGCTCTTGGAAGGAAGCCGAGCCCTCACATGACCAAGGGGTCGGTACACAGAATGCTAAGTCGATGCGTGTGTGACCATCGACATGTCGAACTAGCGTGCATATGGGTTAAACCATTAGAAGGGTTTATGTCATATCCCTAGCATAGTGAACCTGATCGATGTGACCTTGGGTCAACAGATCATGCTAGGAGGAGGCTAGTTGCATGACCATTAAGATAGTCCCATATAAATGAGTCTCGCACCTTGTTTCCATAAACCGACATTATTAACCATTTGCATCATTAACTTATACTTTAGGGCGAGGGTGATGCCTCACGTACCTGCTTTTATGTATGCTTTCTTCAGCTAGTTTTTACCATTTTTTCCTCTAAAAACAAATCTAAACCCATTAATTAGATAACAACAAAGTGAAGTAGTCAAGGCTATCAAGACTCATGGAATACTAACTTGGTCGACCACTATATTAACAACACCGTCTTTAGTTATACTTGGCTTGAGATGAGTTAGTTAATACAAAATGTGCAATCAATTGAACCCGCATGGGGTCACACCAGATTATCTATACTTCAAACAAAACAAATGAAAACTAAGAGAGCAAGTGCTTGAACTCATGTACATAAAATAGATAAAAAGATACAACACCATCAAATTAAATCTCACAACTGTAGGAGGCATTATCAGCAACATGCCATCATCACTACCGTACACCATTTGTTGGATGGGTGCTTCCTAAAGGGCGAGGTTCCACGAATGCTGCTGATAGCCGTAGGGAAGGATGGAAATAGTCTCATCTTTTTATTCACATGGGATATTGTTGAGGGTGAGAACAAGAGCTCTTGGGCATGGTTTCTTAAGAATTTGAAAAAGGAATTGGTTTAACATCCCGTTTCGTCTAAACCTATATTTTAGTCGTTGGAAAATTTACGCGATTTAAATCGGGTGTTTTGATAGTATTTCGACGAAAATTGAAATATCAATCGATCTGATAAGTATACGGATTATATATATTTATATATATAAATATAATATATTATATATAATTACATATAAAATAAAAGAGACGGTCGAGGGGCCGGCTATTAATTTATTTTCTTTCATCCCCATTAGATTAAAAATGTTCCTTCTTTTATTTTTCTGGATCGAAGGTATCAGAGCAAACAGAGGAGTTCAGGGCAGGGGCGAGTAGGGGTGGGCATCGGTTCGATTCGGTCAAAATCGAACCGAAATTGAGTATACCGGATCTACCGAACACCCTACACATGAAACCGAAATCGGACCAAAATATGATTCAGTTCGGTTTAGCCAAACTGAGTTATATTTCGATTCGGTTCGGGATCCCGACCAAACCCAAATTCCAGACACTTCCTCTTGTCTTTACACTCTCTTCGTCATTTTTCCTCAAATCTTCCTCTCTCTCTCTACCAACAAACATCCTTCTACAACAATACCTTCCTCTGCTCGTCAAACCACTCCCTCCATCTCCTTCAAACCTGCTATTCTTCCAACCCTGATCTTTCACCCAACTCCTCCATAAATCCGCCTCTCACCTCCTCCTCCTCCCTTGTCCAACGCCGACGTATGCTGCCGCGGGTCTGGGATAGGGTGTCGCCGCCGCAGACGACACGACAAGCCCATCTCAGAACACGGCGAATCTGCTCTGTCTCTCTTCCGTCTTCGAATCCACCGACGGCGCCGATTACTCCAAGTTCATACGATTCTCTGCCGCCAATGCCACCAATCCCGCATGCAAAAGGTGAGATTGATCGGCGATGAGGGCATCGACGAGGGGGAAGCTGCGATTTATTGGTTGCTTGCGGTGTCGGATAGGAGATGAGATTTGGCGATGCGACGGTTCATGGAGGCTTCCGGAGATGAGATTTGCATTTGGCCATTGTTCAATGTTCATTGTTGATGGCGGCTGCTGTGCAGGATAGGGATAGAGATGGGATTGGGCTTATGATTGTATGGGGTAGGGTTAGGGATGGGATTGGGCTTAGGCCTTAGGATCATGTGGGTTGTGGGGGCCTGGGGTGGGGAGAGGGTTTGGGGGAGAAGAGTTTGCGCTTGGGGAGAGTGGGTTGTGGGGTTTTGGGCTTAATTAAGGGGTGAGCAACAGAAATTCGGTTTCTCGGTTCGGAGGTTCATATTTCGGGTTCGGTTTAACTATCCTGGTTTCCGAAATATTCAAGTTTCCTTTCCGAATTCTGAACCGAACAATATTACTTCGGTTTTGGTTCGGTTTTGGTCCGGTTTGGTTCAAGTTTACCGAACCGGATGCCCACCCCTAGGGGCGAGGGAAAAGTTTCAGCATTTGATTCACCAGTTTTAGTGATCCTAAAATCTCGTAAGTAATGCCTAATCCATCCATACATCGTAGTTTATCAATTTAGAGCTTGAAAACGAGTTTTTGGTTTAGGAATTCTTGAATTCCCGATAAGCCAAATCAGGGTTTTGGAGTATCCGGAAGCAGGATTGAGTGCAGATTTCATATACGAGCTTTCTGCAGCGAGGAAATTAATCCTCCGATTCTGATCCATGAATTTCGGCAATTATTTAGGTCGAGGTCCAAATCGCCGAATTTTTAGCTCCGTATAGGGTTTGATATGTTTTTGTCTAGAATTTGATCCGGAGCCTAAAACTAACATTGACAGGGACACTGCAGGGGATATTAGGACACTCTCGGATTTTAATTCTGAGTTCATTTGTGAAATTGACGTTTTAGTACGGGAGGCTAAAACCGGTGTTTGAACGGCCAGAACAGGTGAGGCATTAGCACGGCATACTGGGTTTGTCGTATCACGATAATTATATTGATGCTTAGAATTGACCTAGGTGAACTAGAATGACATGATTAGGGGTGTATGAACTTTTGTGTTATATGCTGAAACCTGGACTGTTGTATGATATTATTGACTTGCCCTAATCGATATGGACCTTGTTTATGCTGATGATTGCGTATATGTTGCAAATTGTGGGCTTGACTATTGATATGCCATATGATGGTTCGAGAAGGTGATTGAGTATGATTTTTCATGATTGATGTATTGGATGCACAAGTGGGGATATATATATCCCATGATGATAGTATGATGTTTTAAGGAGGATGACTTGCACGAGGGATTTTCCTGAGGAAGTGCAATTATACAACTCCTGGTTTACATATGTTGAGTCAATTGTGGCCAGGTCAAGAACATGTCCAAGTAATGAATTATGATTAAGCAAGATGATATATGTATCATGTATAAGGATACCAAGTAAGAGTATTTTTGTCTCATGGTCAATTACATAGTAATTAGAGCTCCCCATGCTATTACTCTATTATGACATGATAGTCACACCTCTCTTGTGGTGTTGACTGAACATTATGATATGCATGATAGTCACACCTCTCATGTGGTGGTGACTGAAGATTATTCATGAGAAATGACCACACCTAGAGTGGTGTTGGGTATGGTTTCACCAATGGTGGTATGGGGGTATGTATGTATGACCACATCCTACGGGATGCTGGGTGTGTATGATGGCCCGGGAGAGTTATTAACATGGGAGTAGCCAGATGCTTATAAGTAAAACATGATAAGACACATATGCATAAGTAAAGGAGGTTGAGTCTTTTGCCCATTGGGATATGAGGATGGCTAAGGTTCGATCCTAGTGTTTTGGTTTGATTGCTAGATGTATGGTAGGGGTATGATTTGTTATGAACTCACGATGCAATGATTGTTTCACTCACCATGAGCTGACCCTCTTTTATCCCTTTTCTCTGCTTATGCCATGTGTAAGCAGATCATAATCAGCAGCAATACATAGGTGTATAGGTGGGAGTTGAGCAAGAGTTGAAGGCAAGATGAGATATGGTTTTCAACTATTCTGTGTTTGGACGACTACTCGGGATTTTAGCCAGTGATCCACACCTCTTTTATAAAAATATTTGGAGAATGTTTTTCATGTGCATACTAGCTTTTGATATAGTATTACATATTTATAGGTGTGGAAAGTTGATATGTGTATATTTGTGTGGTTGTGTAAGTTGAGACGACTATGGCATGTATTAGTAAGGTATGCAGTTGTGGAGTATGAAACTGTGCCTATGGCTATGAAAGCCAATGTATATGGTTTTGAGTATATATGTATGTCTAGGAATGTAGGGATTCAGATGAATTATTTTGCAGGATAAGTTGCAAGAACTGTTAGCCTATTACGTGGGTAATTCATGTCAAAATTTTATTTTGGGCCAATTTTGGTAATTAATGTAACACAAGTTTTAAATTCCGCTGCAATTGTATGAACAATATGATCAGGCAAAATGTACATGGTAGGGTGTTACAGTTTGGTATCAGAGCTAGTTTGTTTTCTGCATTATGGGTTTGTACTTTCACTCTTGAGGACTGATCACCCTCGAAAGGGGAGGGAGTACTCCATACCTGTATTTGCACTAAACTTTCCAGGATCTGGACCAAAGGTGATGATGTGTTGCATAGTTAGTTGCATATGATCAAACATGATTTTGAGTATTTGAAGGAATCTTAAATATTTTATGGTTTAAGAGATTTTTGAAAATATGTGGAGTTTTTATCTTGTTGTCCAAGTAATGATTGTGAAGAAAGTTTTTTTCAACCAAGTGAGTAACTTGGTTAGACACAAATGGTGTGTGGATCAAACTAAGGCCAATGTTTCCTTGTAGTTTGCACAGAAGTACTTTTAGTGTTACTACTAACCGATCGAGAAGCATGGTGGCTAGCTATGCAATGCAGTTGAGTTTAGCCTGTGCTAACATGATGAGTTGTGATGGTAGATATTTGAATAGAGATATGAATCTTGATGATGGTGTGGTAACCATTTTGTAGGTTGGTATAACCTTGTGTTAGTGGTAACCTACTTTGCAAGTTAATAACTTGGTTTAGTGAATTATGCTTTCGAACTTGTTGATGTGCTTATGTTGTGATAACCCAGTACAGGTTTTTGAAAAAAAAAAAAGGGAACTTGAGGTGTTATGTGTTACTTATGTACTTTAGATCTCCTAACCTAAGAGAAGGAAGTAACAAGATATGTGGTAGTATATGCTGGGGGAATGAGAGGATACGTGTTATTGACACAAGGTTAGATTTCGGGGACGAAATCTTTTAAGGAGAGGAGAATTGTAACATTCCGTTTCGGCTAAACATATATTTTAGTTGTTGGAAAATTTACGCGATTTAAATCATGTGTTTTGATAGTATTTCGACGAAAATCAAAATATCGATCGATCGGATAAGTATACGGAATAAATAAAATATATTATATAAAATTACGTATAAAATAAAAGAGACGGTCTGGGGGCCGCCTATTAATTCAATCTTCTTTATTCCCCAGTACATTAAAAATGTTCCTTCTTTTCTTTTTCTGGACCGAGGGTATCAGAGCGAACAGAGGAGTTCAGGGCAGGGCGAGGGAAAAGTTTCAGCGTTTGATTCTCCAGTTTTAGTGATCCTAAAATTTCGTAAGTAATGTCAATCCATCCATACATCATAGTTTATCAATTTAGAGCTTTAAAACAAGTTTTTGGTTTAGGAATTTCTTGAGTTCCCGATAAACCAAATCAAGGTTTTGGAGTATCCGGAAGCCGGATTGAGCTCATATTTCATATATGAGCTTTCTGGAGTGAGGTAATTAATCCTCTGATTCTAATCCATGAATTTCGGCAATTATTTAGGTCGGGGTCCAAATCGCTAAATTTTAGCTCCGGCTAGGGTTTGATATATTTTATCGAGAATTTGATCCAAAGCCTAGAACTAACATTGATAGGGACACTGCAGGGGATATTAGGACGCTCTCGGATTTGAATTCTGGCTTCGTTTGTGAAATTCAAATTTTAGTACAGGAGGCTAAAACCAGTGTTTAAACGGCATGAACGAGTGAGGGATTAGCACGACATACCGGGTTTGTCGTATCACGATAATTATATTGATGCTTAGAATTGACCTAGGTGAACTAGAATGACATGATTAGGGGTGTATAAAATTTTGTGCTATATGCTGAAACCTGGACTGCTGTATGACATTATTGATTTTCCCTAGTCGATATGGACCTTGTTTATGTTGATGATTGCGTATATGTTGCAAATTGTGGACTTGACTATTGATATGCCTTATGATGGTTCGATAAGGTGATGGAGTATGATTTTTCATGATTGATGTATTGGATGCACAAGTGAGAGAATGTATATCCCATGATGATATTATGATGTTTTAAGGAGGATGACTTGCACGAGGGCTTTTCCCGAGGAAGTGCAATTATACAACTCTTGGTTTACATATGTTGAGCCAATTGTGGCCAGGTCTAGAACATGTACAGTAATGAATTATGATTAAACAAGATGATATATGAATCATGTATAAGGATACCGAGTAAGAGTATTTTGGTCTCATGGTCAATTACATAGTAATTAGGGCTCCCCATGCTATTACTCTGTTATGACATGATATCACACCTCTCTTGTGGTGCTGACTGAAGATTATGATATGCATGATAGTCACACCTCTCATTTGGTGGTGACTGAAGATTATTCACGAGATATGACCAAACCTAGAGTGGTGTCGGGTATGGTTTCACCTATGGTGGTATGGGGGTATGTATGTATGACCACATCCTACGGGATGCTGGGTGTGTATGGTGGCCCGAGAGAGTTATTAGCATGCGAGTAGCCAGACGCCTATAAGTAAAACATGATAAGATGCTTATGCGTAAGTCAAGGTGGTTGAGTCTTTTGCCCATCGGGATATGAGGATGGCTAAGATCCGATCATAGTGTTTTGGCTTGATTTCTAGATGTATGGTAGGGGTATGCTTTGTTATGAACTCACGATGCAATGATTGTTTGACTTACCATGAGTTGACCCTCTTTTATCCTTTTTCTTTGCTAATGCCATGTGTAAGCAGATCTTCATTAGCAGCAGTAGATAGGTTTATAGGAGGTAGCTGAGCAAGAGTTGAAGGCAAGATGAGGTATGGTCTTCAACTATTCTGTGTTTGGACGACTACTCGTGATTTTGGCCAGTGATCCACACCTCTTTTGTAAAAATGTTTTGAGAATGTTTTTCATGTGCATACTAGCTTTTGATATAGTATTACATATTCACAGGTGTGGAAAGTTGATATGTGTATATTTGTGTGGTTCTGTAAGTTGAGACGACTATGGCATGTATTAGTAAGGTATGCAGTTGTGGAGTATGAAACTGTGCCTATGGCTATGAAAGCCAATGTATATGGTTTTGAGTATATATGTATGTCTACGAATGTAGGGATTCAGATGAATTATTTTGCATGATAAGTTGCAAGAAATGTTAGCCTATTACGCGAGTAATTCACGTCGAAATTTTATTTTGGACCAATTTTGGTAATTAATGTAACGTCAGTTTTAAATTCTACTGCAATCGTATGAGCAATATGATCAGGCAAAATGTACAGGGTAGGGTGTTACAATTGGGATTCATGGATGGGGTTTGATGTTGTGTAATTCTTATTGCTTTATTATCGCAATGGTTGGTTGAAGCCATCAATCTTTTGATGCCTAGTGTGGAGCATAGGAAGTGTGCCCAACACTTGCTTGCAAATTGGAAGGTTAAAGTCAACAACGAGAAAATGTGAAGTAAATATTGGGATGTTGTTTATGAATGGAATGAGTCAGTGTTTAGGGCTGCCATGAGCAAGATGGAAGCTTTCCAAGGTACACAAACTGTGATGACCCATTTAAGGACTTTATGGAGCAAGACCCCAAGACATTTTATCGTGCTTTCCTTTCTAGAATCCTAAAATTAGACTCAGTGGAAAGAAACATACGGGAAAGATGGAATAATGTTATTGTGAAGTTTAGGGCTTATAGGATCTTTGAAATGTTGGAGGCCATTAGGGGTTACATTATGATCCAAATGAGGAAGAAACATAGGAGTTTGAGAAGCTACAATCGTTAAAATGTCTAGCGGGCATGAGCTCAGTCACTGCATAGGATGCGAAAGCTAAAAAGTCTGTTGCCAGAACTAGTTCATACCTTGTGGCAAAAGTTAGTAGTGGGGCATCAACATATATTGTTAATCTGCAGGCTCGTACATGCACTTGTGTGGCATGGAATTTTAGTGGCCTTCCTTGGTGCCACTCATTGTTTGTTATATGGTTGCTGAGGCTATAGTTGGAGGAATTTGTGGACCCTAACTACCTCGTATCCACCATTTAGAAGGCATATGCTGGTAGCATTCCTGTTGTGGTAGAGCAATAGGCTTAGCCTCAAGCTGATGGTTATCTAATTTACCCTCCCATTTATAAGACAATGTCGGGGCAACCAAAAAAAGAAAAGGAGAAAGGAGGCACGTGAGCTGGAGATGAGAGTGAACAAGAATGGAAGTCATGCTAGTACAATAGCAAAAAGGGGGGAATGGTGATGCATTGCACCAACTGTAGGGTTGTTGGGCATAATGCTAGAAAATGCCCCAGCTCCTATGTATTGTCTTATCATGGGAGTGGCTCCACACGAGGGAGAGGAAGTGGTTCTAAGAGAGAGAGAGGGAGAGGAATATGTGGGGGAGAGCAATAGCATGGAAGCTCAAAAAGACCTAAGATACAACTGATTTTAGGTTACATGTATGCAATTTAAACCAATTTTCTACTTCCTTTACTTTTTCACTTATTTGCTTCCTTGAATTTCAACAGAGGGTCTTGCATTGTTATATATGCAAGTCCACATCCCATAATGCTAGGAGTTGTCCAGTGAATAGAGGAGAACAAGTAATCATGATTGACTTTAGTACATTCCTCTATACTTGAAGTGTTAAAATGCCACATCATCACTTCATACCTGTGTTCATTAGTGTAGGTTGCAGAAGGTCGGCATCTTCATGGGAATTTGGTTGTTGATATAGAAAAGAGGGATGCCTACGTGGAGAATCTATATATACTAATCTTGAAGTGTTTGGTTGTACGTCTACAACAAAATAGGGATCCCAACCAGCCGAGCTTGATGTCACTCAAGGGCCTTCAACTCAACCACCACCTCAGACGCAGGATCTGGAATGATATATATGTAATGTGTAGATAACTTAGGTAGCACAACCTGATAGTAGGGCATGTGATTATCAAACTGAATGAACCTTTTGTGGTGACTTATTTCACCACTTTTGTATTTTGTAATAGCTCAATTCATCTTGCAACATCTTTCACTAATTTAGTTGTGAATTGGTATATAACCTAGGTAGTGCAGTGTGTTAGTAGAGCATCAGATGATCAAACTGAATGAGTTTTTGTGTTGACTTAGTTCACCTTTTTTTGTATTTGTGTAAAAGCTCGATTCATCTTGTACACTCTTTCACCAATTTAGTTGTGAATGGTCAAGTTAGTTGTGAATGGTACGATGAAACTCTTGTCTAACTGGGAATGACCAATTGCATAGCTACATAATAAGGCATACATTAGTAGGGAATGGTTAAAATTTGGAATATGTGACAGTGGTTACATTAGTTGTCAAATGTAGTAAAAGTGATAACAGTACATCAAATTAACTATTCTGCAATTGTTTGCCACAACAATCGAACTCCCTGAAATATACAAAATGCAGAAAAATCCATGCACGAATTACACAAAACATCAAGCTTCGTATCATAATGTCAACAGAAGAAACCACACTGCTCAACATGCTCAGATCCAATATCATCCTTGCATGATCTTATGTGCTTCTAGTTAACACCTTTCTATTCATTTCTTCCAATTCCATAAGTTTTTCTTTTAAGTCAACCCATGAACCATTCCTCATGTGCAGTTCATATACATCCACCCATATGAGGAACCTTTAGTCTTCGGTCTACAAAATCAAAAGTTAGTAATGGCAATGACAATTTAGAGTTAAGATAAACAAACAACAAAGTAACCAACTACATTAAAATTACCTTACAATATGGGCAACAATAAAATTATCTTCATCGATTCCTAAAGGTTCCAGAATTGTTCATAATGCATGGAACTTTGTGGTCGCACCGATGCACTGAATCATCATTTGTGTTGGTCGAACTAGAAGAGCCTCCCTTGTAGACATGATTCTTGTTGCTATCAATGAAAACAGAGGAAACATTCCATTCAACCATCCAAATAAGATTTCGCACCACCCATGAAACCCCCGTGTCGAAGGGTTAATACACATTGCCTTACAAGAGATGAATGTCGGAGGGAAGATACCGACTGGTGTGTGACCCCTTGCGGTTTATTCAATTGATTGCATGGATTGTATAAACTAACCAATCTCGAGCCAAGTATAACTCAAGATGGAGTTGTTATATAGTGGTCGACCAAGTTCGTAGTCCACTGGTTTCGATACCCTGGGTTACTTTTCCTTTGTTGTTATTTAGTCGATCAGATTAGCATTGTCTTTGGAGGTCAAATGGTTAATACTAGCTTAAGGAGCAAAGATAAAAGCAGATACTAGGAGAATCACCCTCGCCCTAGAATATAGGTCAGTCATGCAAAAGGTCAAAATGTTAGTTTGTGGAACGAAGATGCGGGACTTGCTTATATGCGAACTAGCTCAACGGTCATGAAAATAGCCCCCCTCCTATAATGATCCTACTAGGTATACGACATAGACCCTTCCAATGGGTTTAACCCATCTGCACACTAGCTCGACATGTCGATGGTCACTCACGCATCACCATAGAATTATCTAGGAGGGGTACCCGATTGGTAGGGATGGTCACCTCATCCACCAATTGGTTCCCTATATAATTCATCTACCCAATCATGCCAGTCACATCAATTCCATACCATCTCAATGCAAACCCTAGGTAGGCAATCATGAAAATCACATGGGAGACAAGCCCAAGCATAATCAACATAGATAAAAGCATTCAATCACTAAATAAACAAGTTTCATACACAACCCCTAACAAAATACCTTATACATTCTAAAACCTAAATGTAGAGTTTGGGGATTAAACCCCTAGTGTCTTAGGTTACTACCCCATAAATGGGGTAAGAAGATACACATGAAGAATTAGAAGAAGACATGAGTTGGGGAAGAGCTCCTTTCCTTCTTAGCTCCTCCTTCTCTTCTTCTCCTATTGATTCTCTCTCTAATTTCTCTCTCAAAACTAGAATTTCACCAAGTGATTTCATCTCGTTTTGTGAAGGGGAAGGGATCCCATATTTATAGAGATTTGACTGTTGGTAAAGTTCAAGACTGGATAGGTGAAGATCGCAAGCGTGATCTTTGGAGGAGAGGCCGCAATCTCGGGTGCTACCTTTTATGCCTTGTTGGATGGAAAGTTCACGGCCTTACATCATGGCCGCTATCCAGGATGTCACAGTTACAATCTTAATCGTGGGCATAGACAACAAGAAGTGTGAGTTGATTGTCGAAACTTGTTGGTCCTCTCTTATTGGTTGCATGGTTCTCATAAATGCTACCACCCCCGTGCGTGTGTTGTCAATCATTTTCACATCTTACCTAACTCCCCCATTCTGAGTCAAGTATAACACATACTGGCATTGCTAGTCTAGTGGCTACCAAGGTCGTATTCCATAGGTTTTGATACCCTAGGTTACTTCTCACTTCGTTGTTATCTAGTCAACCGATTTAGGTTTTTGAGTTGGAGGTTGATTGAAAGATACTGGTGGGAGAAAGCAAATATAAAAACAAGGTACTTCGAGGTGCAAGCCCCGCCCCAAACTAGGTTTATCATGTAAATGACTAACTATGTTGGGTTTACAGGATAGGATGCGAAACTCCCTAATCTGGGGATTTTGGGGGACTACTCTTGTCCTTCTAACATGGACCACAAAGACCCAATGTCACGTTAGTCTAAATTTACGTGCTAGGGTTGCTACCATAGTTCCTCTCTTGATATGTTTAACCTATCAGGCATACTAGAGACGTGCTTCGATCAAATAACGTGCGACTTCTCTAGCATTGTTTTAGGAAGGCATTCATACAATAGAGGTTCGTCGCCGTGTCTACTAAGGAACCCATTCTAACCCTAAAACTGCAACCTAGTCTTAACTCAGTTTTAGGCCTAAATGTACACCTTTTATCCCCGTTTCTCTTGACGTTTGTGGCATTTGAGCTCTTAAAAGGGTGGTTTTACGCTAGGTTTGTTGTGTTTCTATATGTTTTAGAGTCTAACAGGTGAAACCAACCCCGGAGTCGAAAGTTGGAAGAAAAGGAACAAAGACTGGGCAAAGAGGAGGTTCAGCCACAATTCGCAGTCAAACATTGGAGTTCACGGTCGCCAGGACCGTGAACTGGAACCATAAACCGTGAACCGTGAAGAGTCCAGAGGGGTTTCAGAGGTTACTGACGCCAAGGCAGTTCACGGTTGCTTAGACCGTGAACTAGAGCCATGGACCGTGAATGCCTTAAGTGAAGCTACGCGTTTTGATATGTGTCGCGGTCCCAGCCTGATGTTCACAATCGTGAATTGGGACCGTGAGCTAGGCTCGATCTGACTATAAATTGAGAGCTGAAAGGAAGAAGAGGGGAGAGCCCAAATTGAGAGAAACCTTCTTCTTCTTCTTGAAACCCTAGAGAGAGAAAGTATGAACCAAGAGGGAGAAGAGGCTAGGGTTTGCTCCAAGTGAAGATTTTGGAAGTTCCTCTTCAAAAGAGTATCCCTACAAGCACAAGGAGAGTTGGAGGCATCACAATGATGGTTTCTTTCTTCATCCTTTGTGTTCTTCCTTTGTCTAGCATGAAGTAGTTTCCCTTTTCACTTGGGTGTTGTAGAACCCTAACTTCTATCATGTAATTGATTGTGTGGATTGAATGATTGTGTGATGGTGGTGTTTAATTTAAGAATTGAGGTGTTTTTCATGGTGATTGTGCATTGTGTGTGCTTGGCAATCTATTGTGCTATTCTAACCTAGGTTAGAGAGAAGTCCCCTTTTGTTAAGAGGCTCAAATTGAGCTGGGTTTTCTTAAACATTCCATGCTTCCTAACTAGGTTAATGAAGGGCAAACCTCTACTTGAATTAGACACCCAGCTTAATTGTGATTATGCTGTCCAAACCTTGGTTTGAGGGAGAAGATAAGTCAACCCTCAATTGCTTGAGCCAAGTGGGCTACAATTGTAGCCTATAATGCTTTCCTTGGCCTAGCAATTGAGAAAATGGTTTCTAACCATTGTTGAACCTCCTACGGGTCATAATATCCTTGTCACACACCGAGTCATTCGATCCCACTATTTATGGTAGTTAGTTAGGGGGAGGCAACTCCCGAGTGAAGCTTCTCACCAAGAGTTTTCCACCCTTTTACTTTTCAAGTCTTGCTTTTAAATAATAGATTGTAGAGATTTCAACAATCAACATTCTGCTAGATAATGTTTCAAACGATTGAAGTAGGGGTACATGGGCTGGCCCGGGTTGATATTTAAACATACTTGCCCTATATTGCACCCATCTAAGGTTTATACTTGGGCCTTAGGTGGGATATTATTGTGATATGCGGAGCGAGTCGCATGTATTTACCTAAGTAGCAAACATTATCAACTCACCAAAGAGGAAGATAAGAGTAAAATCCCTCATACACCGACAGTCTTGGTAAATGCAAACTACTTCCTATAAAGCACGCCATAATGACTATCTAGCAATTTAAAGCATATTGAGGGGATATATGGTAGATACAAGATGTTAGGAGCCCTCAAATTTGAAAACATTTGTGTATAACATCAAGGTTCCAAATACAAAATATAAGTCATTCAACAAACCAAAACACAATAAATCGATAGCAACCATTCCCTCAAACGATCATCAACGTCTTACATTCATGAATAAGGGAAGCTGCTACTAACTATGGTAAGAGTCATTCCCGTATCATTCAATCGTTACTATACGGTGTTTGGTTCGGTTGTTGTTGGTGCACAAGTATAGGCCTTTGTCTTCTTGGTTGGTATATAACGATAAAGCTTATAAGTAGAAAGAATAGAAGAAAGTTATGGGGCACAAAATAACATAGATAATTAAGTATTTTAGTTACTACTACTAGGAAATGAAAAGTACGAAGTATGGAAATTAAAACATAATAATTTACGTTTTTTGAAGTCAAAAGAAAGAAAAGTAAAGACATGAAAGATAGAAAAGTGGGCCATTAATACCTAAGACTTAATCCTCCGAGGAGGATTCTTCCTCTTCTTCGACTTGATGATGTTCAGGGGAAGGAGAAAGCACAAATGGTGGGAAGATATCCGCTACATGGATCTCCATCTTCTCCATTATCGCATGTATGCACACAATAGATGTTGCCTTGCTTCCTTCTCCCTTCTTTTGTTATGGAGGATGGCCGCTACCATTGCCTCGGTATATGCTATTCTCTAGCTTGATTGATTGTTGAGATTGTCAGATGGTAGTTGGGTTTATGTGTCACTTCCGCCTCTTGCATGCTTGCTTTTTGATCTTCCTTGCCAATCCACTTCCACTGCTTGCCTCATTTCATGTTGGTTGCTGGGAGCCGAAAGATGAAACACCGTGCCTTCTACATCCAATTTGTTCGTGAGTGGAAAGGGAATACCTTGGAGACCCCAAATACCATTATCACTCGGGGTCACAACCTTAATATTTGACTTTAGGGACTCAAAGGAAGTAGGTCTCATCTTCGAGTCCATTCGAAATTTAACAGCTTGAAAGTCAACCCCGAAGAAACGAGCAAGTTGGGTGACATACACTCTACCGTGCAATCCTGCAAGCCAATGATCATTCTCATATCACTTCAATGTGTAGAGGATCGCCAAACCGAGATGCAAGGGCTGAGAAGTATGCATGCTATGAAGAAATGTGATGTCTCTGCAGTTATGTTGCCATTACTCTTGTATTTACCTCCCACAGACCTAGCAATCACGTGGTGGATCAATCTCCACTCCAAACTCAACTCACTAGCTTAGACAACTTGACATCCCACTGTTAGTTACCTGCTTCATTGACTTCAGACTCATAGAAAGCTTTGAACCATGGAAAGTCGCTCTCTCTTGTCAAGGTAGAAAAGTCATCCAATGAAATCATAAAGTCCGTCGGATATATATCTAAAGCTCTTGTGAACTACTCAATCGACATATGGTGATATTCTCCTCCAAGTCTGAATTTAATGTTGTTCTCTACATCTGCAACACCTCGGAGACCTTGAATGGTGAGTGTGATAAGGAATTCCAGAACGAGCACTCTATAAATGTTCTCCTTAATGCTTAGCAACTTCAACACTCTGGCTTGTTGACCTTTGCACGTATAGCCTCCTCGATCCCAACCTTGACTAATAGAGTCCAAATGAGGCATGTGCTCTCGCCCCAAATAAGGCACGTGCTCTTGCCTAAGGGAAGGCTTTGGAGCCATAGGAGTTTTGTGGTGAAGCGCTCGGGAATAGCTTCCAGAAAGTAATGTGTGATATGCTCCATAGAAACTCCAGTTTCATCTTGTATCATTAGTTGATCTCCAAGAGGTTGCTCCAAAGGTTGTTGTTGATGTGGATTTGGTGCCTCGATGATTACTTAACTTTGGCGGGGTTTACTCTTCTTCTTCTTCTTTGAATCAGAATTGGTGCTAGAGGAGATGTAGTTCTCCACCAGTTGAGAACTCTCTCCTCGGACCATGCGTTTATGCTTGTTGGATACCCTACAAAAGAAGTGCAGAACCAAAGGTATAAAAACACCAATATTCCACTCAAAATCGACAATTGAACTTGGAAGGTTGCTCTTGCAAGTATCTATGCACCCGCACACTTAAGTAAGAATATGTATTCAAAAGGGAGTATGGATAGAGAGGTATGGATTAATCAATACTCATAATACTCAAAACTCCACAAATAAATCAAACTTCATACATGCAAGGCTCATGCATAATCATAAGTTCAATTGCATAGGATATGATCAAAGAAATTGCATGATATGTGAGTGGTGAATTTCTTCGAACACTTGGTGGGCGAACTTTAAGAACAACAAAACTAAGTCAAATTATCCCACCAAAGTCTCCCAATAAACATAACATATTTTTGAAAGCATAAATATTCATCCTATAGCATAAAGAAATCATGTTATAGCCCTAAAAAGGACCAAAGTTCACTTTGCTTTCGAACATATTTTGACCTAGCTAACATACTCAAATGATAAAAAAAAAACAGTAGTACCTTTGCTTGGAGACATGATATTAATCAAAGATATTATGCAATACTTCAATAAAGATGTTTGAAAGATGAAGTGAGATAAAGTAAGGTCAAAAGGTACTAAAGGACTTTAAGAACATAGTATAGGAGATTTGAAAGATTTTGGGGAGAGAAAGCACATGCATTGGATAATTCACTCCTCCTTAAATAGGGGCGGGCTAGATTGCGGCCTGGGGTCCAAAGATCTCTGCCGCGATCTTTAACCTCGCGGCCGCGATCTTGCCCATTTCAAGCAATGATTAAATTTCAACTACACCTAAGGATTTCAATCATCAATTACAACATTCATTCAAGAAATTAAGTTATGGAAAGGGCTAAAGTTCCATCATTCATCATCTAAAATAATCAATCCCTAACTTTAACAAGTTATTCAAAAGAAAAGAGAAAGATACGCAAACCGAAAGTGTTGGGTTGCCTCCCAACTAGCGCGCCTTTGAAGTCTTTTCGTAGGACTTTCCTTTGGCAAGCTAAGTGAGGATAGCTCCATCCTCCACATTTGATGCCTCATAGTAATCAAACTTGTGATGTAGCCCAAAGTGAAGACTATGAAGTCTCTCGGCCGCCTCGTCCATGGCTAGTGACCCAAAGCATTGTTCGGCCGGTTGATGATGTTTAAAGATATTAAGCTTCCTTGCTCTAAGAACCTCATCCGTGAGTGGCTTGTAGCACTCCCCGGATTCTCCATTCTCTTCGATGGAAAGTAGTTTACTTCCATCGTGCTTCTTAATCTTGTTTCTCATCTTACCCTTAGAATACCTTGTCTCAAACTCAAAATTTCAAAGTTTCCTCCGATCTAACTTTGCTTGATAAGAAATGAGAAGCAACTCTTTCATTTTCTTGGAATTGGGTGAACTAGTCTTCCTTGAATTGCCCTTCTCATCACTACTTATATCCATCAGGTCGACATGAGACACCATATTGAACATTAAATCTCAAGACTTGGAAGGGGGTGTCGGTGGAGGAGTAACTAGTTCACAATCCTTCTCCACATCTTCCCATTTGCAATAAGTGTAAGAATTGGAAATGGAAGTCATCTTGTATCGAATTTCCTCCTCGCCACTGAAGGTCGCGATCTCGATGCTCATCTTTGCACCCTAGCTTCTCGGCCATGATCTCTCATTTTTGCACATAATTCTACAGTTGTAACCCCTTTTTCTTACCTAACATTGTATCATCTAAAAAACTCTAATATGACAATAATTTCTCCGATAAATGAATTAAGCATATATTTGATGACATATCAACCAATGAGACTATGAAATGTCTTAAAACGACCCTAAATATGGGGGGCTAATAAAACCATTTTTGTGTTATCACCGACCGTGGTGAGGCTTCGAATGGGGAGTTGGTGTCAGAGACTTGTTTCTTTCTCTGCGTGAGGATTCCCAGCAAATCCTCTTCGAGCTGTTTGTTGGGTTTATAACGAAGAGTATCACCCTATTCAATAAATAAATAAATAAATATAAAATTAAAATCATAATAGTAAAACACATTATAGAGTTATTAATTTCTGACGTAAACGCTAAAGTGGAGCTTCATTAAGAAATAATTAACGGTAACAAAATGAAAGCTAATAATTTTATGCGGTACAAAATGTTGATTAATAATTAATATTTCAATATATTTGGATAATAAACAAGAATGCAGAAAAATAAATTAGATAATAATTAATATATTTTTTTTATAAAAGATAATCATATATTGATACCAAAACATAGATAGTTACATCCTGGATAACAGCCAAACCCAAAAATCAAAGAAACGACTCATAGTCGGGTACAAAGAGAGGGCTTTTCTAGCCACCATATGGGCTACCCTATTACTACGTCGACCTATAAATCGAACACTAAACCCAGGGTTGCTACCAAAAACTTGTAAAATTTCTTCCAAGATGGCACCCATCCGGTTATGACTACGGTTGATTTTATCAATGATCACCTTGGCATCCCCTTCGAATCTTATCTCCGTGAAACCATGGCCTAAACATAAAAAAATAGCCTCACAGAGCACAAGCAGCTCTACCACAGATGGGCATCAATCCCATGGAACTGAACCCCTCTAGCCATAAGAACACCCCCAATCGGAGTCGGAAGAACCAACCCACCTACCGAATGTGATCCCTTCCTGGTAGCCCCGTCCCATTGACAAGCAACCCCAGCAGTCGGATCCAGCATTCCTGGTTGTTGAACCACTTGGAGAGAATGCTGGGGGGGGGGGGACGCATCCATCGGCAACCCCACCCATTCCTCATATTGTTGGGAAAACTGGCGCATCAACGCAGGGAACCCATACTGCTTGCCTTCAAAGACCACCAAATTTCGAGACCTCCATATGCGCCATGGGACGGAGACAACTGTCATAAGGAGCGTCAACTGCTGGATTAAAACCATTAAACACTTAAGAAACAGAGGGAAAGTATGCCGAGGCAACCCTCCCTTAAGTATTCTAACCCCGAATACCCCCAAAGCGCACGCGCAACAGGACAATCCAGAAACAGATGCTCCATAGTTTCCGGCCACCCCAACAGACCGGACAACAAGGAAGAATAGGGACTTTCCTATCAATGAGGGCCTCTGTGGTGGGGAGGATTCGATTCATAATTTTCCAAACAAAAACCTTTAGCTTAGGGGGGATATTCGCCTCCCACAAACGAATTCAACTGGACCTATCCATCCAACTAGCCGACGCCTTCCACCGACCCTTTCTCTTATCTAGGGAGACGGCGAAATGGTAGGCTGACTTGACCGAGAACACCCCGTCCGGAGTATCATGCCATATCAATTTATCCTCCAGGTTCTATCGGGGTAGGGGAATAGTTTTTATAATACGCCAAGTAGGTGGATCAAACCACTGACTGAGTTTGAGATCACACCAATGCCCCTCCCCTTGACAAATTACCTCAGCCACTGTAGGATCACCCCCTCTGGTAGAACCACAGGATTATACCTCGGAGGGTCAAGCTGCAGTTGAGGAATCCAGGGGGACCGAAGTAGAGACGCTGATCACCCATTCCCAATTTGCCATCTAAGGCCCATCTCCAATAATTCCCGACCATACAAGATGATTTGCAAACCCCAAGATGGGCGAGACCGAGGTTTAGCGGTGAGGAACTGCCCAGAGGGGAAATACTTGCCCTTATAGACTTGGGCCAGAAGAGAATGAGGTTCAACAAGGATACGCCAGCCAATCTTGGCTAAAAGAGCTTGATTAAAATTCTCAAACCGAAGGAAACCCATCCCCCCTCATGCTTATACCTATACATGTCACGCCAGGCCATCCACCTGATTCCCGAGTGGCCCTCATTATCACCCCACCAGAAGCGAGCTACATGTTTGTCCAATAGGCAACACAACGAGAGAGGCAGCTTGAAACAAGACATCACATGTAGCGGTAAAGCCAAGGCAATGGACTTAATCAGAGTCTCCTAGCTTCCCAAGACAAAGTCCTCCGCTTCCATCCCTGTAACCTTTCCAACAACTTTTCCTCTAAATACCGGAAAGTCTCCATTTTAGAATGAGCAATCAAAGTGGGGAGCTCCAGATACTTATCATGCACCCCTACTGCTCCAACTCCCAGAATCGTAGCTAAGAATTCTTGCTCAGGCATAGCAATATTCTTACTGAAGCAGACCGCTGATTTAGCCAGATTGACGCGCTGAACACTAAGTTCCTCGTATTCATTTAGTACCTCAATCAAATTATCACATTCCTTAACCGAACGGCAAAAAACAAATGTGAGATTCGGGGGGCATGAGGAGCCACCTTAACCCCTGCCAGCCGCTTATCTGCGATCGCCCTACACAAGAGTGCTGCAAACCCCTCTGTGCAGAGCACAAACAGAAGAGGGGATAGAGGGTTGTTGGAGTATTCATGGAAGGTCAAGTCTGAGCTTGCAGATTATGACCGTTGCGGAATCACAGGGGTCTCAAAAAGGAAACTTCACAAAGGTTCCCTTAGCTGCTTCCCACGGCTAGCTCTCTTCGGGAAATATATATGGCTGATCTTGTGCTTGTACAAGACACTTTTTGTAAGAGCTAGAGTGGTAAAGGACTTGGTACAGGAGTTATAAAAAGGGTTGACGAATAGTTGAGGCAAAGGTTCAACTTTCGTCAATGCAGATACATATTAGCGGGTGATCTGGGTTCTTTGTTTTTATACTCTGCTTAAACCCTGTTTTGCTTGCATCGAGTTTTCCTGAGTGTTTTTCCTTCTTTGTTTCTTATGTGAGTTTCTTTCCAGAGTCAGCCATGGTTTACGCCTTCGCCCTCACCTACTATAGAACCTGGTTCCATGAACCTGTCCTGGCCAACTATCATCGTCACGCTCAATCTTTTGCCAACCGTCCCATCAGCCCTTCCACTATCCTTCACCTTCCTGATTTTGTTCCTTTAGGGCTGGATGTGCTGCCTTACATCCAGAATCTAGGTTGGGAGTTTCTGCTGTCCCTGAAGCGTCATCCACTCTCATTTGTCCTGAGGCAGTAAGATGTTTCTTTTCCAAGCTTCGATATTTTGGCCTTCAATCTCGCACTCTGTCATCCCTTGTTCATGTTCACATGATTATTCTTACTTTCATGATCTTCGACGTTTTCTTCATATACCTGCTTTCGGGGAAGCCCTTGCTCATCCTGCTGAGCTGCCCCTGTTCAACTTTGATGTTGCTACAGAGGCTGTCCACCTTACTGGCCACGAACCATATCATGATCTTACTTTCTCCTCAGCCCTCCTACTACCCTTGTTACAAACCTTCCATTATCTACTCAGTAGGGTGTTCCTCCCTCGTTCTATCTTCCTTGATCGAGTAATTCCTCTTGATCTCTGGATCCTTGCCCATGTTGTTGCTGCTGTTCCTTTAGATTTTTCCCATCTTCTATTCGGTGCTCTTCTCCCTTTCATTGATCACAACTTTCATGATCCTCTACCTTTTGGAGCCATGATTACTCGTCTTCTGCTTGCCCTGCCACTAGATTTGTCCGCCTATCATACTGAATCTCCTACTCAGTGGCTCAATGCGGATGAGGTCCTAAATGAAATCGGGAATGCAATTGAGGGGGAGGATGATGGCCCCTTTATACACTGGATCAGCAGTGACTCCGAGCTAGAAGATGAAGCTGAAGCTGGGGAAGAATCAGTAGAACCAGAAGCACCAGAAGCTCCTATTGCGTTTGATAGACCGTTAATTGCACATGTTTTTACCCCTATTCTTGAGTCGTTTGAGATGTTGATTCTCGTGATTTAGGCTCATTTCCCGCTAGGTTGTGCTTGTTTGTGATATTTCATGTCCTAGTACGTGAATGAATGTTTAGGAACGAGTTCAGGGTCAATTGGAAGGAGATCAGACGTTTGGCGAGAAGCTGAGGAAGTCACACGGGCATGCCTAAAACCCACACGACCGTGTGGTTGTGGCCGTGTAGGATGGCTGATGTCCACTTATCAAAACGCCGCGTTCTGTGCAACTCACACGGGCAGCTGGAAAAGCCACACGGCCGTGAGGCCTGCCCGTGTGGTCGGGAATTTCTAGGTTTTAACCCAATTTCGAGCCAAAGGAGAGGGAATCGACTTTTTGGAGCAAAAACAGAGCCCTAGAGAGAGAACCTACCGAAGAACACCCCCCTAAGAGTGGTTTTGGAGCTGGGTTTCATCAATCAAGCTTGGAAATCATCCTTGGAGTGAAGATCATCATCCCATAGCATATTCTTCCCATTGTTATGAGTATGACTGCTTTGTATTCTGTTTCCCTCCCTCTCTCTATGGAGTAGAACCCTCTCTCACTTGGGTATGAAGAACCCTAGTTCTATGTGTTAGGGATCATTATTGTAACGACATTTGGATTGTGATATTGCTTGATTATAATCGATTGAAGTGTGTTGATTGAGTCAATTGAAGTCTGATCATCTTTTATTGATTTCTGCTGCAACCTGAGATAGATAGAATCTGATTAGGTTGTTAGAGCTTCTTTAATCAGTAGTAGTGAATCGATTATACGAGAGTCAGTCGATTCACTACTTTGTACTGGAATCTAATTCCAGTAGTGGAGTTCTGTGTTCATTGCCTTAGCATTCTATCCCGGTGAAGACTAGTCGTCTGTCGGGTAGTTTGACTGAGAGGGCTTGGTCAGCTTAAGCGATTCCAAGCTATTGTCAGATCTTCCGCAGTATAATCAGCAGTAAAGCAACCAAAAGTAATTACAACTGTGACCTAACTAAGGAGCTAGGGGGACTCATTCCCGAGTGACTCTTCCTTTGCTTTAGAAAACCGAACCATTTCATGCTTTCTTACTGCTTTTAGTTAAAACCAAAATCAATCAACTTAGTTGGCTAGATAATAGATATTCACGGAGTAGGCAGTAGATCTAGACCTGGGGTTGATAATTAGAACTTGCCACTTTACTGCATTTCCGGACTGCGATTACACTTGGTCGCAGTTTGGTGTTGTATTTTAGCATGTCAGCGTCATTTGCAGCTGCTCTCCAAGACTTATATGGCTCAAGCTCTTAGTCTGATTCTGAATCCCCTACCGCAGCAGCTGCACTGGATGATCCTGTGTCTTTTGATTATAGTTCAGATCCCTAGTCTAGTCTTAGTGTCTGTTTTAAGTGAAGAGCATTATGGTTGTTTTTGTTTTCTCGAACTCAGGGAGAGTCCTGCGAGTCTTTTCTGACATTTTGTTTTCGCTCAGAGGGAGGGTTTGTTGTGTTTGCTGAACTTGGTTAATGTGTTGTTGTACTTGGTTGAGACTGGTGTTTGCTTTTCTCTATTTACTGTGTTATGAATTGTGCTGCTTGATCCTGTGTGGAAAGGTTGTTTGATAAATGCAAGATATAAGCAATCTGCAATCTCCGACTTAGGGGGAGATTGTTGGAGTATTCATGGAAGGTCAAGTATGAGCTTTCAGATTATGACCGTTGCGCAATCACATGAGTCTCAAAAAGGAAACTTCACAAAGGTTTCCTTAGCAGCTTCCAACGGCTAGCTCTCTTAGGGAAATATATATGGTTAATCTTGTGCTTGTACAAGGCACTTTTTGTAAGAGCTAGAGTGGTAAAGGACTTGGCACAGGAGTTACAAAAAGGGTTGACGAATAGTTGAGGTAAAGGTTCAACTTTCATCAAGGCAGATACAGATCAGGGGTTGATCTGGGTTCTTTGTTTTTATTTTTCGTCTTTACTCTGTTTTTCTTATTGTTCATTCTTTGTTTTTCTGTCAAAATTAAAAATCAAACAAAGGGTCTCCCAGACCATATTATGGGACGTGGAAGTACACCATTGCACTTGGGAGAACCTTGTTAAAAACGTCTTGTGTCCTGTGTTCTTCTGCAATTTCCCATTCAATTTTATCTTCCCTCTGTTATGGAGAAACTCTGCTTCTCCTCTGTTCTTGATTCTGCTGTGTTTCAAGTTCGTGCCGCAGCTTAGTAATCAGAGGGATTTGGGCTTTCGGAGCTTGTGATCTGCTGTCTATCTTATTAGGCCCCTACTTCAATTCAGCCCACTTCTTTTGGTAGATCTGCCGAGAACTGGTCAAAAAGAAATCATTTCCTTCTTCTTCGTCCAGTCTCGCGCTTCGATCTATCCTCTGTTCTTCCTTGATCTAATCCCCAAATTGTCTCTGAGGGTTTCAAGGGTCTCCTTGTCGTAAGCCCCGGGTTGGCTTGAAGTACCCTAACGGAGTAACATTCATCAGCACAGAAAAAAACGAAGATTGGAGGCATTCATGTATCCAACCCTGCCAGACTGAGTTAAAACCCATCTTGTCAGAAGAAACGGCCATTCGACTCTATCATAGGCCTTTTCCATGTCAACCTTAAGAGCCATGTACCCCTTCTTACCTTGCTTTTTGATTTTCAAATAATGCATTAACTCGTGCCCAAGGAGGATATTCTCAACAATTTGGCAATCCCGAATGAACGCATTTTGGCCTGCCGAGACGATATGAGGTAAGAGGCACGATAAACGTTCAGCCAAGATCTTGGTTATAATTTTATACAAAAATTGGCATAAACTGATTGGGCGCAACTGCGTCATAGACTCCACATTCGCTACTTTGGTGATCAGCGTGAGCCAGGTGTGATTGAAGCTACGGAGCATCCTGCTAGTCGTAAAAAACGAACAGACTACGTCAACCACCGAATCACCCACAATTCCCCAAAAGGCCTTGAAGAATTTGCCCGTGAAACCATCTGAGTCCGGGGCTTGTTTAGATCCCATAGCGAATACAATTTACGAACCTCATCCGGGAGGACAGCAGCTGTCAGGCCAACATTCATTTCTGGGGTAACACTACGAGCGATAGGCAGAGCATCCACCCGCTCCCCCATATTCAGAACCTGATTCTCAGAAGTGAAAAGATGGCCATAGAAATTAGTAGCAATATCTGCTTTCCCTTTTTCATTAGTTATCCACTAACCACTCTCATCTCTTAGGCCTGCCACAAAGTGCCGTTTACGATGAGTCCTAGTCACCATATGGAAGTACGATGTGTTTTTATCCCCCTTCTTCAACCAGTGAACTCTGGATTTCTGTTGCCAGTAGACTTCTTCCGCCTCCCATTGTCTAGTTAATTCAATTTCTAGGCAACGGATCACATCCCAATCAATAGGGTGAATTAGCTTGAGCCGCTCAATTTCGCTCTGGAGAGTTTTGATATTGCGCAGGGAATTAGTGGTGCCTGCTATGCTCCAGTCGTATAATAAATGACGCAGATTCTTAAGGCGTTCCCAAAGGTGAAACATCGGAGTGCCTTGGACGTCTTCATGCCAAACATAAGAAACCATAGCTTTCACTTCAGGATTATCCACCAACGCGCATCAAAACGGAATAGTGGCCGACTTTTTCGAACATAGGGCTTATTAGAGAGAAAGAGCGCTCGATGATCCGATCACTGATCCGTAAACTGTTTGACCAAGGTATCAGGAAAGCGATCAAGCCAAGATTGGGAGCAAAGAGCCCTATCCAGTCTCTCTCTAATACAGGCCGCCCCCATTCGTTTATTAGTCCAGGTGAATTGGTCCCCCTGATAACCAGGGTCCAGAAGTCCCAAATTCTGAATAAAATTCCGGAGGCTAAGAGCTTGTGCAGCATTCCACTGATTTCCTCCATCCTTCTCACTCACATGGAGAGTCGTATTAAAATCACCTAAAATAACATAGGGAATTTGGATGCCAACAGAAATGTCCTGGAGCTGATCCAGCTGAGCGGCACGGAGAGCAACATTACAACTAATGTACACAAAGATCACCACATACAAAAATTCCATTTCATTAACTTGAACACAAACACAGAAATCTAAATGAAAAAACACCGAAGCATCAACTTCGGGGACCAAGCCAAAACTAAACCACTAGATGCATCAACCGCATCAACAAAAAAAACAACAACAAGACTCAAACCCTAACTCACGCAAATGGCGGGAAACTACTCTCTGTCTCGAACGTATTTCCGAAAAAAAACACAAGATCCGGTTTATTAGAATGAACTAAACCAACAACAATTTGGAATCGTTGGAATCGAGCCTGAAGACAGGACATCCCCGTCTAGCACAGACGAAGGGGGGAGCCAGAACCTCCACCCCTTCAAAGCCATTTTCTGCATCTTTTAACTGAATCAATAGAGGAGAGCTCTATTATTTCACTTAGAGCCTCCAATCTCTTTCTTTTCCGGCTCGAGAGGACCTATCGGTGGATCGTGCAACCGATCTGTGCACATTTTGGATCTTCAACCGAGGTTCTCTGTACTTCCGCTCTGCAACGTCGGTTATGCCCGTTAACTCCCAAACGGGGTTGAAGTTCACCAATCAGAGGATGACTGCAGAAGTGCATCTGGTTATGCAAGCTGGTCGAAAGGAAGGCAATCAGCATCACCCAGAGCTAGCTGCCGATCTCGGCACTCAGCGTGAGGAGAGAGGAGAGAGCTCCTCGCATCTCACTTTTTTCTTCCAATAACAATAAAGAGGATTTAGTTGTCAAATCACTCCCTAAAGCATATTTTCTAAAATACTTGAGATAATGTTTTCTAAATCATATCAAATACTTTTCCGCCACAGTAAGAATTTGTTTTTCTCAAATTTAACGAAAAGTCCACTAATTTTGAGAAATAGTTGAAGTTATTTAGAGGATGAGTGGGCGAAAAAGACTTTAAAGTCTACGCTAAAAAATGAAAAGTAGGGGAGAAGAAATTCTTCCTTCTCTCCTCTGAGATTTTTTTCTGTCCTCTGCCCATCAGAGCGACTGTTCATCTCCCGCCTCCTGCAGGTTTGAATTCTTGACCTTCTTCTTGCATCCTGTGAGACTAGTTTTACTGCTCTATTTCAGTTATTCGATCTCCTCCCCATTCCTGCTCTTGATATCCCGCGGTTGGAGTTTCGTTGTCTTGCACCATCTCTATTTTCCATCTCAGAGTGACGTTTCGCCTCCCCGCCTATGGCAACTGAATCTGATATCATAGACAAAATAGCAAGTGTAAGCTTAACAGAAAAAGAGGAAACAAGCATCAATATAGAAGATTCCGATGAAGAGAAGGGCATTGAAGAAGTGATTACCGAACTTGGAGTAGCAGGGAAAATAATTAAAGGTAGGCTTAGTTCGGCCAGGGTCACGAAGAACGTACTAAAAGAGGTCTGGCGGCTGAAGAAAGATTTTGATGTCAGAATAAACCAGAAAGGTATTATGCTGATGCAGTTTTATTGCTACGAAGACAGGGATAGGGTTCTCCTTGGAGGCCCTTGGCACTACGAGAAACAACTAATTGTGTTCGAGAAAATACCACCAGATCTACAGACGAAAAGAATCGACTTCTCAACAACGGAGATATGGATCCGGATCTGAAAAATACAGTTGAAGCTTAGAAATAAGAACATGGCAACAAAAATTGGGGGAATGTTTGGATCTTTCCTTAAGTGGGACGAACTTCATTCTGGACGAGATAGTGCCTATCTGAGAATTCGAGTCTCTATTAACATCAAAAATCCACTACGAAGATTTGTGAAGTTGGATGGTTCCCAGGGCCCCGTCTCGTATAAGGTAGCCTATGAGAAGCTGCCAATTCACTGCTACTATTGTGGAATCTTGGGCCACTTAAAGAATGGATGCCCGAAAAAGCTGGATGATCCAGAAACCGAAATGAGAGAAGAATATGGAACATGGCTCTGAGCTGAATCCCCACTAAAAATCATCGATATGAAGTTTAAAGAGGAGAAGAAGAGGTTGGACAACCTGTGGAATGAATTGAAAGAAGGGAAAATCACGAAAGGACCTCGAAGCAAAAGAGTGGAACAGAGGGAGAAGCAAAATGAGGAGGAAGAACAAGAAGGAAGGGAGTGGGCTGCCAACCTGGGAATAGATGTTGGTCAGAAGGCTGAGTCGAGAGAGATCATCACAAAGGAGCTTGTGAATGAACTACAAGTTATTATTATTATTTTTAAAGAATCAAACTCACAAGAAGGCGAAGAAGAGAGAAACTACCCTCATGGGAATAATGAAGACAATGATACTAATGGGGAAGAAGGGCACTACAATGTGAGTAAGAGTGCATAAACAAATGATGCATCCCAGTTGGAAGAAATTAGAAAAAGACAGGTTGATCAGGAGGAAAGCCTTTCGGGGTATAAGTCATGTACTAAACTAGCAAGTAGCAAGAAGTGGATTCGTCTGGAGAGGAAAAAAGATGAGAGGACTGAAGGAGTTGGGGAGACAGTGGGCAGTAAGAGAGTGTATGAGGATGGAGTAAAAGACATGGAAATCGACCCTCTGCCTTGTGGTGGAAAAAAGTTTAAACAGGATTCAAACCTAATAACGGATGGCGAAGTGGCGGTCATTATCGAGGAGCAAGGCCGTCGAGCCCAATGAAGCTCATAAGTTACAACTGTCGAGGTCTGGGCCAAACCTCGGCAGTTGATGACTTGAAGAAGCTTGTTGGAAAACAAAGACCAGATGTACTTTTCTTGATGGAGACTCGGCTGTCTAGTAAGGAATGGAGGAAGGTGAAATGGAAACTGGGTTTTAAAAAAGTTTGGGGGATTCCAGCTAGAGAAGATAATGGTATTAATGCTGGAGGAATCTGCTTATTCTGGAGAGAGGGTATTACTATCTCCTATTTGTCAAGCTCTACAAACTACTATGATGTGACTGCGGAGTACGAGGAGGAAGGACCAAAATGGCGCTTTACTGGATTCTATGGGAACCCGAATAGAAGTGAAAGGCAGCAATCTTGGAACCAACTTCGAGGCCTGAAAGGAGTCAGTGACTTCCCTTGGTTATGTATGAGGGATTTCAACCAAGTGATGGCAGAGGATGAGAAAGAAGGAGGTCGACATATTAATGAAAACATGGTAATAAATTTCTGTGATGTTTTAGAATTCTGTAGACTTATGGACTGTGGATTTGAGGGATACCCTTTTACTTGGAACAATGGTCGAGGGGGAGACAACTTTATAGAGGAAAGACTGGATAGATGCCTAGCAAACTGGGAATGGCAACTGATGTTCCCAAATAATAAAGTTACACATCTGGACAAGTGTGGTTCGGATCACTGCCCTATCCTAATGAACACGACAGATCCAGAGGAAGAAGACATCAAGTGGGGATGGCAGTTTAGAGTGGAGTCCTACTGGCTTCAGGACTCTGAAAGCAGGGGAAGTAATTTCTAGAGCTTGCAACTGTACTGAAGATGTTATTGGGAGAGTGCAAAAGAGAGCTTCAAAGATGGAGTAAAGAGAAGTTTGGGAATTTACAGAAAAGGATTGAGAAGATCGATTAGGAACTAAAGAGAATTAAATACTACCCGAAATCTGAACAACAAATCCAGAGGAGAAGGGAGCTGGAAAGTGAGAGAACATATCTCATACATAAAGTCGAATTGAAGTATGGAAGCCAAGATCTAGAGCAGACTGGCTCAAAGGTGGGGACAAAAATACGAATTTTTTCCATTCCAAAACTACAATGCGAAGGAAGCATAATACAATCAAGGAGATCACAGACGAATCAGGAAGAAAGCACAAAGGTTAAAAGGAAGTTACAAATTGTATGTTCGATTATTATAGTACACTATATACTGGGATGCCTAACCCTGACTTTGATTCTGTAGTCAATGCCATTGAAAGAAAAGTGACAGACAACATGAATGAAGAACTCTCTGCGCCGTTCAAAGAAGAAGTTTGCAATGCTCTTAAGCAGATGGATACTAAGAAAGCACCTGGCTCGGATGGATTCCCAGCTGGTTCCTACCAACAAAATTGGGATTCGATTGGGGGCCATGTCACGACTGCTATCCTAAAGTACCTTAATGAAGGATACCTTCCTCCAAAAGTCAACCACACACTGATAGTGCTCATTCCCAAGGTGAAAAAATCCACAATGGCTAAGGACTTTCGTCCTATTAGCCTTTGTAGGGTAATCTATAAAATTGCTTCAAAAGTCCTGGCCAACAGACTCAAGAGATTTCTTAATGATTTAATCTCTGAAGAACAAAGTGCTTTCATCAAAGGTCGGTTTATTACTGACAACATTATTACTGCTTTTGAATGTTTTCAGTATTTGAAAAGGAAGACCAAAGGGAAAAGAGGCTTCTTTGCTGCCAAACTTGATATGACTAAAGCCTACGATCAAGTTGAATGGGACTTTCTGGAGAAGGTGCTACTTAAGTTGGGTTTTAATGAGAACTGAATAAAACTAGTGATGATGTGTGTTAGGAGTGTTTCATACTCAGTTCTTGTTAATGGTCATCGCTTTCAAGATCTAAAACAATCAAGAGGTTTAAGGCAAGGCGACCCTCTCTCGCCCTACCTTTTCCTCATTTGTGCAGAAGGCTTCTCAGCCTTACTCAAGAAAGCGGAGAAGGATGGCAAAATCCATGTAATCAAGATTTGCCATAGGGCTCCAACCATCTCACATCTCCTATTTGCATATGACAGTCTAGTGTTTGGTAGAGCTACTATCGAGGAATGTGAAGAACTGAAAAGAATTCTAAAAATATATCAGAAGGAGTCATGACAGAATATTAACCTCACTAAATCTGAAGTGTCCTTTAGCAGGAATGTGAAATGGAGCAAAAGATTGGAAATCAGTGACACGCTGGGGATCAAAGTTGTAGAGAAACATCAAAAGTATCTCGGGCTATCTACTGTTATTGGAAGATCTAAGAGGGAGGTGTTCGACGAGCTGAATGAACGGGTTAGAAAGAAGCTAAAAGACAGGAAAAGCCTTACTCTGTCTGCTGCGGGTAAAGAGATACTGATAAAATCAGTTGCTCAAGCACAACTGATCTATCCTATGATGGTGTTCCAAATCCCGGAAGGAATTCGTCAAGAGATTCAGAGTCTGATAGCCAAGTTCTGGTGGGGCAAAAACATGATGAAAAGAGGATTCACTAGCTCAGATGTGAAGAGTTATGTCGTCCTAAGGAAGCTGGCTGTCTTGGTTTCAAAGACCTGAGAACTGTCAATACCGCCATGCTTGGGAAGCAAATATGGAATATTTTAAATCGGCCCAATTCACTGATGGCCAAGATCCTCAAATCTCGTTACTTCCCTAGAGATGATTTGCTGAATGCCAAGACAGGGAGTAACCCTAGTTTCATATGGAGAAGCCTGGTCAGAGCTAAGGATGAGATAGTGGATGGTTTTCGCTGGAAAAGAAGCTCAAGCACAACTGATCTATCCTATGATGGTGTTCCAAATTCCGGAAGGAATTCTTCAAGAGATTCAGAGTCTGATAGCCAAGTTTCGGTGGGGGAAAAAACATGATGAAAAGAGGATTCACTAGCTCAGATGGAAAGAGTTATGTCTTCCTAAGGAAGCTGGCGGTCTTGGTTTCAAGGACCTGAGAAATGTCAATACCGCCATGCTTGGGAAGCAAATATGGAATATTTTAAATCGGTCCAATTCACTGATGGCCAAGATCCTCAAAGCTCGTTACTTCCCTAGAGATGATTTGCTGAATGCCAACACATAGAGTAACCCTAGTTTCATATGGAGAAGCCTGGTCAGAGCTAAGGATGAGATAGTGGATGGATTTCGATGGAAAAGAAGCTCAAGCACAACTGATCTATCCTATGATGGTGTTCCAAATCCCGAAAGGAATTCTTCAAGAGATTCAGAGTCTGAAAGCCAAGTTCCAGTGGGGGCAAAAACATGATGAAAAGAGGATTCACTAGCTCAGATGGGAAGAGTTATGTCGTCCTAAGGAAGCTGTCGGTCTTGGTTTCAAAGACCTGAGAACTGTCAATACCGCCATGCTTGGGAAGCAAATATGGAATATTTTAAATCGGCCCAATTCACTGATGGCCAAGATCCTCAAAGCTCGTTACTTCCCTAGAGATGATTTGTTGAATGCCAAGATAGGGCGTAACTCTAGTTTCATATGGAGAACCTGGTCAGAGCTAAGGATGAGATAGTGGATGGTTTTCGATTGAGAGTTGTGGATGGTGAAAGTATCAATGTTTGGGAGGATTGATGGTTTCCCAATATCAGGAGGCTATCACTAATTCAACAATGCAGCGAGCAAGTTGATAACTTAAAGGTTAGCTCCCTCATTGACAGAGACAGTTGATGGTGGGATCACGCTAAACTTCAAACCCTATTCTCAGTTACTGACCAAACAGAAATCATGAAGATTCCTTTGAGAAATCCTCCTACAGAAGACTCAATTCTATGGTCTGAAGTGGATAATGGTATCTATAACGTGAAATCGGCATACAGGAAGCTATGGCAGAGAGAGTATTCGAGGGAGGATGAAAGCAACATGGATGCCCAAAAAATCAGAAGCTACTGGAAGAAGATTTGGAATCTCCACATTCAACCTAAAGTGAAAGTCTTCCTATAGAGAATTAGCATGGATTAAGAGAAGCAAATCGAAGAGGGCGGAGTCCCTTGATTGTGGAATCTGATTGCCTGAATTTGATAAAGTTATTGGAGAAGGACGAAGAGGATCGGGCTGAGCTGGGTGTGTAGTGCAAGGAGATCAGAAAATTAGCGAAAGTCAACTCAGCCATGACTGGTAAGCAGGTTGAGTGGACTTTTGTGCCTAGAAGCTCAAATTCTGTGGCCATTGTTTAGCCCACATGAATACCCACCGAAACCAAATGTGTATTTGGACTGATTGTCGACCCAACTCTACCCAACTCTATTAGGAGTCTGTTAGAAGCTAAGAAAGCCCAAACTTTTGAGATTTAAGCAATAAAATTAGAGGGCTTCCTATAAAAAATAAATAAAAAAGGTAGGGAAGGAGGCAGTAGAAACAGAGCAAGAACCAATCCTGATGCAAAATTGAAATTGCGAGGAAGTTTGGATAAAGTAGTACCATTTGTTTATCGCCATGCAGCAAGGAGGAGACTTAAAGAAGTACCATTTGTTCTACCGTCAACACTCAGCAAAAACAAATGATTCTCCAAGAAATTTCCAGTAATTAAGCCTCCTGGAAACCAGTAACCAACATACTTCCCAGTCATTCTTTATTCCTGACCCATTCAATCGTTTCCTGGCACCTACCATTCCTTTCCAGTTTCCACACACCCAAATCAGCTAAAGAGCACCATTGCTATCAGAGGAAACCTGCACATAATTCATTTTGAGTCTACGCTCATTTCTTCATCTTCAAGACAGCTCGCTCCCTAGTCCTATATATAGGGCCACACTGGAAGTCGTCATATTCCAACTCTTGTCACTCCTACTAATTTTCGTCAAGTCTGTATATAGTTTCTCCCTTCCCTCGAAATGGAGAGAGCAGCAGTAGCAGCAACAGCCGCATCACTGAACTCCACTTCTCCACAAACCCAAGCCTTGCTTCTCATGTTTGTCATTGACTGCATCATTCTTTGCATCACTCTTTTACATCTAACCCATTCTGTGCTGAATATAGCTTTGTCGCTTCAGATGTTTTGGGGTCAATTCCAGGCCCGAGAAATACATCAACTAACCCCTGTACAACCTTCCAGGACCACTAGCAATTTTGCCCAGAAACCTTCACCCGATCCCAGTACTGTACACGAAAGAGATCACGACGCAGAGGGAATAAGCATAAGTGAAGTGAGGATGGTAATGGGTAGACTAGGAACCAATTGGCATGATGACCTTAATGACGACCAGCAGCATCAGGCTCGTAAGCTGAGAGCCAATGAGATCACAGACATGTTCGAGGAGCTGGAACCTAGCCTTGAGGAGGCTAAAGCGGCATTTAATGTGTTTGATGGAAATGATGATGGGTTCATTGATGCGAAGGAGTTGAGGACAGTGCTTTCCAGGCTTTGGTGCTGCCACAGTCATGCTTCGGAAGCAAACTGCAAAGAGATGATCACATCATATGATGAGAATGGAGATGGGTTGGTGGATTTCAACGAGTTTCTGAAGCTTTTGGGGAACAGCTTTGACAAACAAACTGTAAAGCCGCTCTGATACCTGCAAATCGAATCATTAGTCTTGTATTTCTGAAACATTGACTGCCCCCATAAGGCCACTCTTCAAGTTTCCCATGAAGCCAAACTAACCCAACCGGGCCTGAATAACAAAAACAAATAAAGTCAATCTAAAGCTCCGTGCAATATATGCTCCCATTGCAACTGCTTCATCTTTCTTGGAATGTAAATTTGATTTTGAAGTCTGTCATAAGACACAGGGAAAAGAAGTGTCTTTGATCGATATAATGCAGCCAGCTTAATAATGCCCTTTGATTTGCTGAATATAAACGACTCCAAAATAAGGGCCACCTGGTTCCAGCATCAGTACATAACATCTAAAATGCGTCGTCTTCCAAACATCATTAATAAATTGCATCTCTGAACTTACCTTCTACGCCGTCCTACTCCTAATAAGAATAATATAAATTTATGATCCTAATCCATGTATTATTATCTGCTAAACATTACTATAAAATGTTTGAGAAAGTTCCCCTTTTCAATATACTCGAGGAGTTTGCAGCAAATGAATTACCCCATGAAGTACACTAAACTTCAGAAGTATGGCAACCAGCAGGGGGACGATGAACCATCCCCGGCCGATGAAATTGGCCCTGAGAGAAGAGCAGAAGGGACTACGGAAGGTCAGCACAGGAGACCCACGCTGAAAAAGTTCTTAGAAGCTGTGCAAAGAGTCATCAGAGATATACGAGTGAGGAAACAACAATCATCAATTAATGGAAGAATAGATCTAGGCGATGCCCAAAAGGAGGAGGATGATTGTGCCCATAGCCAAGCAGAACAGAAACCAGGTAAGTGGTGAAAACTAAGAACAAACAGACAGACCCCTGTGCTTTCCTGTCCATCCAAACTCTTGTCGATATTAAGCACAAGCTACTTGTACCATGCAAAATCAAGCACAGACAATCCTATGAGCTTCTGTACGTCAGGTTGGAGCTTTATTTATCAACCATTTCCAGATGATGTTCTGGGTCAATCTGTCAAACAAGCCACAATGCAAAATCAGTAGATCAAGTGCTTATATCATTGGCAGGCATGATCATATGTTAATTGGCCATCTTATCATGAAGTTCTAATACATAAGCTCAGTTGTAGTCTTCCACCGAATTCGTAAGGTAACAAGCAAATTCATCACATAAAGCAACAGACAATGAGAAACATCTTACGATAGTGGCAGTAGGGAATAAATAGCAAATGAATCCGTTTGTTAATAATCAGTTGATCCCAATAACTCAAGTTGTTGGGAGAAGGTTATGCTGAATCTTATACAGGCCCATGTATGGTAATTAACCACTTCCTTGCACAGTTCTCCGCATGAAGATCTCGCATTTATGCGGGGAAAAGGAGGCGATACCCAGAATGCTTTTCATTTCAGGCCATTCAGCGTCAACTATCCTCCAATCCCAATTGTAGGCATCTATGCATATAAATTGTTCTTCGCCATTAAACGCTTTCTTCCCCATCTAGCAAGCCAGAAATACAATCGATGGGCCACGAAACAGGGAGCAAAAAAAGAGTATGCAATTGCTCAGTACAGCGAACAACGGAACAGAGAGAAGGCAACAGATCTAGATTTAAGATAAGCAACTTTCGCTAATCACCGAGACATGGTTCATGATAACCTCCAATTGGATTTGAGGGAACAATTGACGAGTGAAGCTACCTTTCTTTGAATGGCACAAGGCAGGCTTCTCAGTCACAATGGGTTGCGTTTGAGTACTGATAACGCTCCGAGGCTCCAGAAAGAGAAACAACATCGCGCGCGCGCTCCAGATGGGATAGAGGAAGAGCCGAAGAGACCCAAGAAGACACAGTGTTCATTCTCTTCCTAAAATAGACTCACTTCCTGCCGCTTGCCATTTGCGGAGAAAGGGAACCTATTTTAGGAAGAGGAATGAACAAGGTGGCCACAGAGAGAAGATGGAGGACGCCCACGCCGCCATGGGAAGACTGAAGAGGAGGAGGGAGTCGGTTCCTTTCCCCGAAGATAAGTAGTTCTAGCCAAATAATGGACTTTGGATAGTGATTTCAGAAATTGCTATACTGATTTTAACTATACACCGTATGCTCTAACTAGATTCAGGCCCGCTTGTTGGTTGGATGAATTTCAATAGCAGTATAAATGACCATAGTAATTGTATGAAGCAAGACATATTTAATATTTTACTACCTACCATAAAAAATTTCAAATCATTTAGTTATTGGCAATATCATATTCTTATAATTTTCAACATGCTAACCTAATTAGCGCACAATCAAACTAAAACAAAAAACTGAAACATGAGAAGACTAAGCAATCCATAAACATACTATTAACTAGCTTACACCCTGCCTTTTGGGCAGACATGTTATTTTTATATATATCATAATAATATCTGAATTGTCTATCTTATTAATTATAATAGTATTTTATTAAAATAATAGTGAAAAATATCACAATCATTTATTCTGAAAAAGTCGTGGACGGAACCTTTATCTCTTCATAACTGAAAATGCTCTTTCATACCTTGCAATTGCAACAAGCAAAGTCAACACCAACTTCATTAGGGTAGTAAGAAGGGAAAAAACACTAACAATCAAATTGTCAAAACAAATGCAGCTAACCTTCTCATGAGCTTTCATTCATGGCATACAGATCTACATTGAGACTCGACTTAACTTGAGATTGATTTGGCACTGCTAAACCAAACTTGAAAAACAAAAGAAGACAATTCATAAGGGAAAAATTATCCAACATTTAAGAAAAGATTGTAGTCGAAGAACACTACTGTATTCCATAATTGTAATTGAACAAAAGGAGAAAATCCATAAGGAAAACCTAGAAACAGAGTTCCAATATCAACCTGAAAGAAATTAGATTACCGAATATCCCATAAATGAAAACATAATATTGATTAGAAGCTTCACATTGTGGCTCTTAACTACACAAAGTTTCCACACAATACTATTCCTCCTCAAGGTCACAGTCGTCAACATGTTTTCTTTTTTGCCCGAAAAAGGTTGTTCCTCCAATGTCCACAAGACTTGGGGTCACAATCAGTTGCTGCAATCAAATTACATTAATAATAGAGTTGTAAAACACGAATATAATTTTGAATCCTTTAGGTAAACTGAAATTATGTGCAGCTGAAGTGTTCATCACCTACCTAAAGTGGATCGTGGTCAATGCTAACCACTTATACTCAGCTTGTGGGTTCAAGAAGTTGAACTGAGTAAGTTTAAAATGAAGTTTGAGTGTCATGTTAACAATTTGTTGGATATGAGACGGAATGAGTTCTTTCTTCCTCTGATTTAAATGAAATAACACATCAGCCATCACTCCGAAAAAAGCGCAAATCTTCAAGCTCTAAATGGAAAATAAGCTTCTTCCGTATCATCTTGCAATTGGAGTTTGACTCTAAACCTATGGTGAAAATGAAACAAAATTCAATAATGTCATAAATTTATATGCATCATCCATAACGTGCAGCCAAATCCTACTTTCCTATAAAAATGAAAGAACAAACTGTGCAGATTACAAAATGTACAAAGCAAGAATCAGCTTATAAGCTTACTTGGCTTTAGCAATGGAAGAAGTCATCTTACAGTGTCCACAAAAAGCACTCTTCCAAATCTCATTCCACCTTGTGAGGGCATACAACATACCCCATGTAGCACCAATTAGGACGTACTTGAATCACATTCCCTTCAACCGTAAACAATTTTTTTAGTTTAACACAAAAAATTGTTAATAGGTAAATTAGAACTTATTCGTAAGAAAATCCCAGTTGTAGAATTCAAGCAAAATCATAAGTATCTGTAGAAAAATATCATAAAAGTTCTCCACAAAGCCGTTTGATGAATCACTGATGATGTACAACTCATGTAAGCAAATTTCAAACAGCTAAAGATAAGTAAAAGGCAAAGAGTGACATACCGGAGACTAAAACAAAACGTACTTGATACATCCATCGTACCACCAATAGGAACTTTCTTCTCATCCTAGCTAAAGTCGCAATATAGCGATCCACGCAAGTGATGCGGGCTTCAACTTGTCAATAACTATTAATAAGACGTAGACAACTAAGAAAAATGGTAACTTCAAATCAATAAAAACAATATTCAATTTCACCTATCACCCTCAAAACACACCCTCTCCATGTCAACTTCAACTACTATCGGACCTTCAAGTGTGATAGGAACCTTCAAGTGAGACACAGATTGATTTCCCTTCCTTTCCCTAACAAAAGATAGAAGGGAATACAAATCAAATAAGCTATAATTTCCTTACGTATATGACGTCCAATCACAGGACAACAACAAAACTAAGAACAAAATGAGTATTTTAAATCGAGTAGTAGCAGAGTTAGAATTGAATGGAGGATCTGCAGAAAGTTTAACCATGGAGACGCTTCGACAACATTGTTGCAATCAGGAAAACCCACCGAGAAATTGTCTCTTAATCCCATATAAAATGCAAAAGTAGGACTAATTTTACGAAGGGAATTGATGCAATATGGAATTGTCGGAAGACTAAGCACAAATGATGTAGAGTTTTACTGGGTCACGTATGCTTTGAAATAGTACTTACAAAGTGTGATGACTAAAATTATAATTCTAACAAACTTTACAAACCAACTTGTAAATTTACAATTTAAGCTCACATTCACTACAATAAACCTCACCACACCATAGCCACTCTCTCAAGTTCACACTCCTCTCACCATACTCAATCTTCTCACCTACCCTCAATTCTCACGTCTCTGTCTTTCTTCCCTCTCTTTTCTAACTTTCCTATCACTTCTCTAATCCTTTTGTTGCTCACTCCGCTACTTACAACACGTCACAAACCCAAGACCCCTTTTTATAATACTAAACCGATATAACCAAGAAAAAATCTAAATAAAAATTTTATTGCTTTCTTTCTTCCTTCTCTAGAGACTTCTTCTTCTAGCTCCTCCCTCTTTCAACATTCTGGGTTCTTCCTCTTCCGAATAATTCCAGATTTTTCTTCTCCCAAATATCTCACCTAGCTTCTAGATTGTATTGACCGAATATGATTTTGATTTCTCGATAAATGGTTGGAACTGGTTAATTAGCTAATGGATAGATTTGCCATTGAAAACGCAAAAGAGGAGGGCACATCTCACATAAGGCGAGGCGGAGAGGAGTCAGGACATTTTCTATGGGCTTGCAAGACAACAGATGGCTACAAACAAAACTACAATCGAGAAGAACAGAGAGGCCTACTGTGGGGGATTTCAAATTCAGATGCAGTGTGGCAAAAGGAACGTCTGGCCTGTTGTCAGCAGAGGCAGCTAAAGGAAGACGATGAGACAAAGAGGAGTTGGGATTTTTTCTGGGGGATTGCAAGCCAGACCAAATTTGAAAGCAAATACACGAAGATTGAGGAAGAACAGAGAGGCCTACTGTGAAGAATTTTTAATTCAGATTAGGTGTGTCAAAGAGGAATGTCGGAGTGTTTGTGAGCTGAACAAAGGCGGCGAGAGAGTATCCATAGAGGTGAGAGAGAAATCGCTTTTTCTGGTTTCTCCGGGGAAAAAAAAAAAATAAATCGCAGAATATGGGAAGACAGCGAGCGAGGGAGAGATGGATGGGAAATGTCCATAAAGGCTTTCTGAATTGTGCGGCCGTTTGAGCAGCGGCTGACGTGGCAAAGACTGTTTTTTGACATTGCCTTATAGTATTTTGTAGATAACTAACATCAATGGCGTGTTTTTTTTTTTTTTGCCAGGTCTGGTTGGGAATAAAAATTGAAAATAAAAATTATATAATTACTATATGTGCTTATATAAAATTAACGAGAAGCCAATAAATTTGTAAGGAAGAAAAGTTGATAAATATCTACTATATTATATTGGAGGATGAAGGAAGTTTGGTATGAGCTGTCAAATAGTGAGGGAATGAGCTATGTATAATTAAATGACACACTTGGTGGTTGAGGCTATTGTAGTTAGTGAATGAGAAAGTCTAGTTGAGAGGAATAAAATACACACTAGCTCAGGGGCGGACCCACGGGTGATTCAGAGTGTCCCGGGACACCCCTAAATTTTGGAAAAACGATTATCCAACCCCCGGTGGTAAATTTCGTATGGACAAAAAAATTATAATTGATAGTAGGGTACACCCCTGAAATTTGGAAAAATAATTTTCCTACTCTTATTTTTTAGTTTGCGTATGGAAATATAAGTTGTAGTTTGAGTAATTCAAACCCAATACACTATAATTATTAATAACAATAATCTCTTTAGACGACAACTCATTTTTTGTTCGATTTTAAACACTATGTAATAGTAAAATGCCATTCCCTATCTCTAATTATTTTCAAAACCTAACAATTAAACAAATTATTTTAAACACGGTTGTACGATAAGTGTTGAAAGAGTCTTTTCAGCTTTGAGTTACATCAAGAACAAGTGTAAAACTCGAATATGTGATCAGTTCGTGAATTATTCTAGTAGGATATACAAAGACAATTTTTTTTTAGCAGTGTAGACACCAAGTGTATTTTACAATTATTTCCGAATATGAAAACACATCGTGCGATTCAGGTATTTTCTTATATAATAATTTTTTATTTTAATTTTTAATAATTATTTTAATTTAATTTTTAAAAGAGGACACCACTATGTAAAATTTCTGGGTCCGCCACTGCAGTAGCTTATATTTCAGTATTGATCGGTGTTTCGGTATATAGCGATCACAATCTCGTAATCCCTAATACATAATAGCACTTCAAATTCAATCCCAATCGCAATCCAAAAAAACAATACGTGTATTCGATAGCACCAAATATTGACTAATTCAGTACGATATTCAGTATATCCCAAATATCGATACCAAACTTTCATCCTAATTACATGTGATGATGAATGCTATGCACAAAACCAACCAAATGCCATGGCTTGCAAACAATGGAAACCAAAATTTGATCTTGTTGCATCATCTCATCATTGGTATACAATAGTAGTCACACAATTCCTCCAATATGACACTTTAGGAACTCCAATTGTGGGCAACTGAACAATATATACTCATTGGACATTTCTGTGTTGGGTTCTATTTCCACTATGATTGACTATATAAAGGTGATTTACAGATACATGGAATGCTGCAAAGAATCTTCACCCCTGGTTATCCCAGTTTCCTTGGTTCTGAGAAACAACCAGGGATTGGAAACTCTGGATTGATGAAAAGCATGGGGCAACAAGGCAGCCAATTTGATATGGGTAGCAGTTCTTGCTCAAGTTTACAACTCGGAAATGAATTCCCCTACGCTTATGGTACTTTAGGTTTGGCTGAAGACAAGCAGTTCGAGCTACATATTCAAAACAATGCAAATGGATATCATGATGTGTATCATGTTAATACTTACTAGTGTTGCACTTTTTGACCAGAACCCTTATCCACAGGAAAGAATCACTCTGTAGCCAATAATGTGTTGTGAAAGAGGTTCTTTTGAACCATATCAATATATGGTTCTGGTCAATATATACTAGTGTTCTCTAGTTGTAGAGGATATGCTGTATATGTGTAAGATGTATCAGCTCAAGTAATAGTAGCAGCAAGGTCTTAGTCAAAATGTGTATAATGATGGCGTAGTTAGTCTTGTAGGCAAAGTGAGCACTGTTTGGAGGAGGTAGGGCGATCTCCAGTCGCAGTTCTAATGGAGTTTTCATTTCTCTTTTACATTGTAATCTCTAGGGGTTTTCCCCTGCCTCCAAAGTAAACAAGGAGATTTTCCATGTTTTGAATAGTTGAGTGACGTAGCCGCTAGGATTACTAAAGGAGCCTGTGTCGTGGATGACAACAACAATAATAAGAACTGTGATAGGACCATTCTCTGGTTCTTTATTTAGCTCGGACTACTCAGCCTAACCACAGTTATTGCGACTAAGTGGGGTAGCCAACTCATGGGACTTCAAGTCAAGCTTGCCGTTGTAGGTGTCTAGATTCTTAACCAACTTCCGCATTTGCAGTAGTCTAGTTGAAAGAGTCAATAAGTAGTTAACTTAGTTGGGTGTTTTTGAATTATAGAATAAGTGGAGAGTAGTTGTTAGCAGATCATGGGTTTCGCTCCACATAGATAGCATTGGTTGTTTTCCCTTTTCCAAATTGTTTTCCCTTCTCTAAACGTGATGTACTTAAATTGAAAGGAAATAACAGGCAACATTTTATTGAGTCAAAGAAACCTCTAGTTGTTCTAGCCAAGAAAGTAGAACACTGGCTTGATCCTGCCAAGAAAAGGGATCCCTACAATTGTACAACTTTGACCCGTATCATCTGGTATTAGAGCAAGGTATACATACCCACGCAAAGCACATCAAAGCCATCGAAGTAGCCACCCAAGAGAATCAAACAAGCCTCCAAGCAATTATAGATCAATTGGCTGCAATACAACTACCGTGACCCAGATAGCTCAAGAGAGAATAGGTCGATCTGAAGATGTAGACATGTCGGTCAACTGCCAGAGACGGTGAAATAATCACGATGATCATGACAATCGAGACCGGTAGCCCTTCTTTGGAGCCAAGCTGGACCGGCTTGAGTTCCCTACAATCGTGGGGGACGATCCTACAGTCTGGTTTTTGCGGGTAGAGCAGTTCTTCAAGTTCCAAGAGATTATGGAGGAACAGAAAGTGAATCTGGCATCATACCATCTCAAAGGCGACGCCAACTGATTCGGGCCCAAATGTACACATTTTATCCCTCATTTCTTATTCGTTTAGCTTAGTATTTCATCATTCCTCAACATAGTTCACGCTAGGTTGTGATTGTTTTGATACGTTTTAGGTCCTAACACGTGTGGAAGGGTCGAGATCGAATTTTGGGATAATTGGAGGTCAAAAAGCGCAAAAACCAAAGAAAAGTCTGAAGTCAGACCGTGACAATTGCCCCGTAACAGTGAAGTGCTGGCGTCAAGGAAGCAGCCGTAGTTCACGGTCAAACAAAGGAGTTCACGGTCTCCTAAGATTGTGAACTAGAGCCACAAACCGTGAACATCGAGCAGTGCAACGAGGTTTTAGAGGTTACTAACGCTAAGGGAGTTCATGGTCGCTAAGACCCTGAACTGGGGCCAATGAACGTGTACAACAGAAGCGAAGCGGTGTGTTTTGGAGACGACACTGAGTTCACGGAAGCGTTTAGGTGTTCACGGCCGTGAACTGACCAACGCGTCCGTGCACTGGTCACTTTCGGGCAAATATGAAGACAACAGCGGGGAGAGGGAGGGGAGAGCTGGTTTTTGGAGAAGAATTGGTTTCTTTCTCTAGTGTTTCGACCCAAAACACCATAGGGTAGTTCTAGAGAGTGAGAGAAGGATCTTAGAGCTTAATTGAAGGCATTGTTCAAGCTTGTGAGCGAGGAATCAAGCCTAGAAGAAGAAGAAGATCTAGAGGTTTCTTTGTAATCTCTCCTCTCTCTCTCTCTCTCTCTCTCTCTCTCTCTCTCTCTCTCTAGAAACTCACTCTTTTCTCTTGGGTGTTGTAGATCCTTAACTAATACTTTGTAATTACTTGTTTAGATTGAATGATTTTGTATGGGTTTGCACCAATTTGAATATTAGAGGTATCTTCATGGTGATTGTGCTTAGTTGTGCTTTCGAAATCTTGTGTGCTTGCCTAACCTAGATTAGAGAAAAACCACACCTTTTTAGGTAGGCTCGACAAGCTTGGTTTACCTAGGCACTTTGCGCCTATGATCTAGGTTAGAAATGAGCATCCCCCTTCATTTAATTTTGCATCTAGGTTGGTTGTGATTAAATCGCTCAAACTCCGGTTTGAGGGAGAGCTCTAGGCAACCCCTAGAGATTGAGTGAGAGGATCGATTCTGTGACAAATCGATCTCTAGTGAATCCATCCCGTGACAAATGAATCACTGGTTGCTCCTCTTAGCGTTTCCCCTAGACATTGTGAGTGGATCGATCTTGTGACAAATCGATCGTTAGTGAATTGATTCCGTGGAAAATTGATCACTAGTTGCTCACCCTCGCGGTTCACAACAACCTACACCACACGACTCCATTCAATCCAACGAGTCATGGTAGCTAGTTAGGGGGAAGCAAATTCTGGGTGAAGCTCCCTTAGTTAGAATTTTCCTTTATTTACTCTTCGTTGCTTGTTTTGTTTGTAGTTCCATTAGTTCTAAACCCAAAAGTTGCTTGCTAGATTACAACCTAAGCGATTGAAGTAGGGGTACATGGATCGGCCTGGGTTGATAATTAAAACTTACTTGCCCTATGCTGCACCCCTCTAGAGTTTAAAAAATTGGGCTCTATAGGGGATTTCTAGTGTGGTGTTTTGTGTGAGTCACCAACCAATACTGGCAGTGGCTCCACCAAACGTACCATACAGAAGTCCTGCACATCACTTGGGACACCTTCTCTTCGGAACTCTGGGTGCGATTCGACCAAGCTACCGGAACGAGCTTCGACGAATCCCTCTTGCGAATCAAACAGACCGGGCCTCTGAAGGATTACCTCACTGAATTTGAGCGTCTAGGCAATCCAGTCCATGGGTGGACTCAACAGGCACTTGTGAGTACCTTTATGGGAGGGCCCAACTCGATTATTACCAACAAAATTCGCATATTCAACCCCAAGACCTTGAAGGACGCCCATCAATCTCGCACGTGCACGAGATGAGAAGCTCAGCCGCCATAACAATCCCCCATGACCGATGTTCCGATCACCTATGGACTATACGATGCCACCATTTTTGAAACCCAGATCCACTTTCGACACCATTTTTGTTGTCCGCCCCAGACTCGTTACCGAGCAGACACAAGGGATCCGCAATCAAGCCCAACCGGCGATTGGTGGCAAGCGACTACCATACGAGGAAATACACCATCGAAGAGCCGCAAGCCTCTGTTTCAATTGCAACAAGAAGTCTACACCAACTCATCACTGTGCAAAACCTACGTTGATGATGCTGTTGGACGGGGAAGAAGGAGAGGAACCATTCGAATAAGTAGAATCAGCAAGAGTCTCGCTCCATGCCATAACGGGCCTAACCGGAGGATGAACAATGCGGATCTGGCCCCGAGTGGGCCGATCCAAGTTGATTGTGCTTATTGATAGTGGGTCAATCCACAATTTCATCAGCTCCAAATTCGTCGAAGCTTTAAAGCTCTCCGAGACTTCCATCGCCGCTTTCAATGTCAAAGTTGCCAGTGGAGCTCCACTAAAATGCAGCAGCAAACATAAGGGCATCATCCTCAACATTCAATGTATCCAATTTCCCGTCACTCTCTTTGCAATCCCGATCACTGGTTTTGACATCATCCTCGACGTTCAACGGGTAGAGATTTTGGGCACAATACAGAGCAATTGGAAGACGATGGAGATAGAATTCGAATGGGATGGTCTTCTCTGCAGGCTATGTGGCATCACCGAGTCGCCCATCTCCATCGAGGGTCTCACAAAGGGGGTTCGACCTTCGCACCATCATACTACCTCCCAGTTAGAAGATCCTCTTCGACATGTACCAGACGATCTCCAAGACCTCTTGCGAGACTTCAGTGACCTGTTTGAGAAATTAGGATAGATGCCTCCTCGCCGCTAAATCGACCACTGCATCAATTTGAAAGAGGGAACAAAAGCAATTAATTTTAGGCCATATCGGTATGCATATTTCCAGAAGGCATAAATTGAGGCACATGTCAACAAAATGCTCATGCTAGGTCTGATTCAGGCAAGTACGAGTCCCTATTCCTCCCTAGTGCTGCTGGTAAAAAAAGAACGGATCTTGGCAATTTTGTACTGATTATCGTGCCTTGAACGCAACAACTATAAAGGATTAATTCCCCATTCCCACTATCGATGACATGTTAGATGAACTCCATGTAGCAACCTACTTCACAAAATTGGATTTGCGAGTAGGCTATCACCAAGTGCGAATGAACGATGCCGACATCCCCAAAAAGGTATTTCACACTCACAACAGTCATTAAAAATACGTGGTAATGCCCCTTCTACTTGTCAATCCATCACGAATGACATATTCAGACTCATACTCAGCAAGTTCGTCCTAGTCTTCTTCGACGACATCTTAGTGTTCAGTCCGGATAAGTAAAGCCATTGTGAGAACTTGCGTAAAGTCCTACTAATCCTTCGACATCCGAAATTCTTCATCAAGTTCTTTAAGTGTGCCTTTGGCTTGCCAGAGATTGAGTATCTCGGTCACATTATCACAGCCCAAGGAGTGAAGGTCGACGACCCCTGGAAAATTCAGGCCATGACCGAATGGCCAACGCCGACCAACGTCACCGAGCTACATGGGTTTTTGGGGCTTACCGGCTACTACCATAAGTTTGTTTGGGGATATGGCTCCATTGCTCGTCCTCTAACTAATCTCCTAAAGAAGAGCCAATTCGAATGGACACAGACAACTGCAGAAGCATTCCAGCATTTGAAGACAACAATGACAACCACTCCAGTCCTAACAATTCCCAACTTTGAGGTTCCATTTGATATTGAAATCGATGCATTGGGAGTGGGCATTGAGGTTTTGATAGACCGTTAATTGCACATGTTTTTACCCCCATTCTTGAGCCGTTTGAGATGTTGATTCTCGTGTTTTAGACCGATTTCACGCTAGGTTGTACTTGTTTGTGATATTTCAGATCCTAGTACGTGAATGAAGGTTTGGGAGTGAGTTTGGGGTCGATCGGACGAAGATCGGACGTGTAGCGAGTCGCTGAGGAAGCCACACATGCACTCCTAAAACCCACACGGCCGTGTAAGGAACCAATGTGGCCGTGTGGGATTTTACGAGGCTTCAAACGGGCATGCTGGAGATTCCACACGGCCGTGTGTCCCTGGCCGTGTAGGTAGCCTGAAGTCCAATTAATCGAAACTCGGCGTTTTGACTCTCACACGGGCAGCTGGGTAAGCCACACCAATGTGTGGCCTGCCCGTGTGATCGGGATTTTCTGGGTTTTAACCCAAATTCGAGCCACAAGTGAGGGAATCGACTTTCCAGAGCAAAAACAGAGCCCTAAATAGAGAAAGTGCGAAGAACACATCCTAGAAGCGATCTTGGAGCTGGGTTTCATCAAATCGAGCTTGGAGATCATCATAGGAGTGAAAATCATCATCCTATAGCAGATTCTTCTCCTTGTTATGAGTATGACTGCTTTGTATTCTATTTTTTTCTGTCTCTCTCTCTCTCTCTCTCTCTATGGAGTAGAACCCTTCTTTCACTTGGGTATGAAGAACCCTAGTTCCATGTGTTAGGGATTATGATTGTAATGACTTGGGATGATTATAATGTTTGGTTTTAATCGAATGATGCATGTTTCATTGAATTAATTGAAGTCTGATCAGCTTTTCTTGATTTCTGCTGCAACCTAAGATAGATAGAATCTGATTAGGTTGTTAGAGCTTCTTCATTCGGTAGTAGTAGATTGGCTATACGAGAGTTAGTCTGTCTACTGCTTTGTACTGGAATCCAATTCCGGTAGTGGAGTTCTGTGCTTATTGCTTCAGCTTTCTATCCCGGTGAAGACTAGTCGTCTGCCGGGTAGTTAGACTGAGAGGGCTTGGTCAGCTTAAGAGATTCCAAGCTACTGTCGGATCTTCCGCAGTCTAATCAACAGTAAATCAACCCAGGGTAATTACAACTAAGACCTAACTAAGGAGCTAGGGCGACTCATTCTCGAGTGACTCTTCTTTTGCTTCAGAAAACCGAATAAATTCCTGCTTTCTTTCTACTTTCAGTTAAGACCAAAATCAATCGACTTAGTTTGCTAGATAATAGATAATCACGGAGTAGGCAGTAGATCTGGACCCCGGGTTGATATTTAGAACTTGCCACTTTACTGCATTCCCGGACTGAGCGTGAACGAACCTGCAGGAACTTCAAGCGTGCTCTAAAGGCGCGACTGGTTGCGGAGGAGGCGCTAGCACAGCTGCAAATCGCCGACAAAGAAGAGATGGGTGATCCACAGGACCGTGATGTGGTCCTTCCCGAGGAGTAGACCATGGGATACTACTGGACTGCCAGGGCCGCGGACATGAGGTCACCCATTCAACACCCTCATGTCCCAGCCAACAAATTTGAGGTGAGCACCTCCGTCATCACCATGTCGCGCGGTTCGGTGGTGTTCCGTGGCAAAGAGGGGGAGTGCCCCCGATCACATCTGAGGCGATTCCACGAGCTCATCGATGGAATCAAGATAAATGGGGTCCCAGCCGATGCCATCCAGCTGAGGTACTTCCCATTTACCATGGATGGGCAGGCCAAGGAGTGGCTAGACACTCGACCTCCAGGATCTATCACCACGTTCGCCAACCTGGCGGACATGTTCCTCACCCGCGGACTTGCAGAAGCAGATCACCCACTTTATCCAAGTTGAAGATGAGGCCATCCGGGACGCATGGGAGAGATACAACAGTCTCTTCTTGAGGTGTCTCAATCATGGTTTCAATGATACTTTCAAGGTGGGCACCTTCTATCACGCCCTCTTCCCAGAAGACAAGCAGCTGATTGACTCGGTTTGTGGCGGGAACATGCTGACCAAAACACCGCCACAGCTGAATCAACTCTTTGAGGAGATGGCAGAGAACGGGTATGATTGGGGCACTGCTATGAGGTCGAGGAGAGCACCAAGCCGAGGTGTGCATTCTGTAGCCACCCAGTCATCTGATTTGGTGTAGGTGGTGTCGAAGCTGGTGTCAGCCATCGATCGCTCTGAGATGATTCCAGGGACCGGACAGCAGTAGGCGATGCTCTGCCAGTGGTGCGAGAGCACCCATCACACGGTGGAAGACTGCCAGGCGATGAGGGAGTCGACCACACCCCAGGAGCAGGTGAACTTCATCAATAATGCTTGGCGAAATGACCCCTACAGTAACACGTACAACGAGGGGTGGCGCCAGCATCCCAACTTCTCCTAGGCTGGGGCCAGTCCTAGACCACCGGCCTCCCAAGGACCGCCAGGTTTCCAGAGGCCGCCATACCAGCCCATGTAGGGGCATGCAGCTCAATCACAGCCGCGACCTTTCCAGCAGCCAGGTGCAGCCCCTGCAACCCCAGTGCAGAATGTCCGATGGCTGAATTGCGGGATTTGGTGGGTTCTCTCGCCAGTTCTAGTGCTCAGAAATTCAACACTATCGAGCAGTTCATGGAAAAGGCCTCGGATAAATTCCTGGCTCTTGAAGCTGGCCAGAGGAACACACATGCTGTCTTGCAGGATATCCAAACCCAGCTGGGGAGCAAGGCTCAAGCAGTGGCGCAAAGGGCTCCAGGTACCTTGCCAGGTCATACCATTCCTAATCCGAAGGACTCGAATGCCCACTACAATGCCATCACAACCAGGAGTGGCAAGATGACTGTTGATCCACCTATTCGGGCACAAGAGAGAGAGGCCCCTGCCTCGGCATCTCCAGGCGCTGAAGAAGAAGCGGAGCAGGAGGTTGAGGTGCCTGCGCCTAAACCGCAACCAGTAGTGAAAGAGTATATCCCTCAACTCCCCTTCCCTACTCGGTTGCACAAAGACAGGCTAGAGGCAGAGTTCGGGAACTTCATGTCCATGCTTAGGAAGCTGAATGTCCAAGTACCTTTCCTGGAGGCACTATCTCAAATGCCTAAGTATGCGAAGTTCCTGAAAGATCTTCTCTCAAAGAAGCAAAAGCTGAGCGAGCTGGCCACTGTGGAGCTCAGCGAGGAGTGCTCGGCCATTCTACAGAACAAGCTTCCGCCAAAGCAGAAGGACCCAGGTAGTTTTACTATCCCGTGCTCTATAGGTAAGTTACATGTCGAGAGGTCCTTGGCGGATCTAGGTGCTAGTATCAATGTCATGCCATATCAATTGTTCAAGAAACTAGGCCTAGGTGAACCCCGTGCAACTAGGATGAGTCTTCAATTAGCTGACCGATCTATAGTACATCCTAGGGGCATAGTGGAAGACCTTCTGGTTAAGGTTGGCAAATTCCTTTATCCTGTGGATTTTGTTGTCTTGGACATCAATGAGGACACATAAGTGCCCCTTATACTGGGAAGGCCTTTCCTGACCACCACCAAGGCTCTCATAGATGTGCATGATGGGACCTTAGTTTTGAGGGATGGCGACGAGCGAATAACGTTTTTAATTGCTAATACTCTCCCTGTTTCGTCACCTTTGCATGTTGTTTCTCACCAGGAGCACGAGTCTGTTGTGTATCCTTCTTTGCTACCCATTTTGCAGGATCCCACTCCCATACCTTCGCCGCCACTCCCGTCCATGCAGTTACCAAAGGAAAAGATCAGGGAGGGGTGGCGGCAGAAACTGCAGGTAACTAAGCCTGCCCACAAGGAAGCCGGAGACCACTATGAGCGGGTCTCGCTTTCTGAGCCTCGACCACCCTGGCCATCTGAGTATTCACTCGCTTGCATCCTGTTGGATGGACAAGTCGAGTTGATGAGTGCTGGTCGCCACATTCACCGTGTGCATGGCCACCATCTGAAGCTGTACTTCAACAGCGATGTGGATCCGCTCTTGAAGGCACCCGCGCCTACACCTCTCTGAGCATCCAACTACTAGCGTCCAGCTAAAAGACGATAAAGAAGCGCTTGTGAGGAGGCAACCCCACCTAGGTTTGCATTTTCTTACCTTTTTCCTTTTGATTTTTTGTGTTTTTTGAGTCTTGAGGTGTTGTCCAAGAGTCGTTTGTCAATTTTGAGTGAAAACAGGTCAAATTCGGAGTTCTGGCAGCCCACACGGCCAGCCCTAAAAGTCACACGGCCATGTGGATATGGGTTTTGGCCGTGTGGATGCCCTGGAAATTTCACACGGGCAAGAGGGTTCCCTCACACGGCCATGTGGATTGGCCCCCTGCCCGTGTGAAGCCTCGACAATTTCCACACGGCCAGTTGTGCTTTTCACACGGCCGTGTGGAAATCCTTGGCCTGACCGTGTCGGCCCACACGGGCACATGTGCACCTCACACGGCCGTGTGAGTTTGCCCGTGTGGCCAAGCCCATCCTTTAAAAATCGGCCGACACGGCCGCGTGGTCAGAAAATTCAAATCCTCTCGCCGGAATCCTCTCCCCCTCGCCGGAAAACCGCGACATTTCGCCCTCTTTGGCGATTTTTGACCATTTTTGGTCGGTTTTTCACCAAACCACCTCCACACCCATCATTTTCTCCCCATTTTCGGCCTATCCCTCGACTTTGAGGCGATTTGGACCGATTTTGAGTCGCCGGAGGCGATTTTCGGCGAGCACTTCCGGGCAGATTTTGGCCTCTTCGTCACTTCCACTGCCTTCCCCTCATTATTCCCTACACCTCTACTTGTGTCTCCGGGTTTGATTTTGACCTTAACCTTGTGATTTATGGAGAATTGGGTGTTAGCGTGTATGTTTAGAGAACAACTTTGAATCATGTGAATTGTGTGCAATTGATTGAGGGGAATGCTTGGTTTATGTGTGAATTATGTTGGGTAATGTCCCCCATGCTTGTTTGAGCCCTTGTGTGCAAGAAATTTGTCAATTTCATGCTTAACTTAATAGTGCACACAAGGTGTTCGATGAAATGCCTGTTTTCGTACCATTTTGTGGGAGTCGGTTGGGGCCCTTAATGATGTGCTTTGAGGGTGTGTTTGCTATGGATGTGAACCTTGAGTTGCCTACTTTTTCATGGATTTGCACCCCCACCCCGATTATGCTTGTTTGATCGAGTTTTTGACCCCCGAAATATGGATGAAACCATGGTTCGGCTGTTTTTGGTTCTTAAGTGTGGAGGTGTGATTAACCATTTCCTTGGCTCTTTTGGTTCCACTTTGGGTTGTTCTTTTGTAGGACCATGACGAAACCCGACCTCAAGCACCCGTTTATTCGGGATTTGAAGAGGGCCCCCCACCAGGATCGTTTTAAGAGCGTCCTGGCCTGCTCGTTTGGGCAGCATCATTGCTGGTCCAGGAGGGAGTTTGAGAAGCTGCACTACTACGAGCACTTCTCCGCCATTGTCACCAACCGCCCCTGGCGTCGTCTACTAAGCATTCGCGAGAAGGTTTACCATGAGCTCGTGCTTGAGTTCTATACGACCTTCAAGCACGAAGAGACGGAGGATTGGGCAGACGATGAAGCCGTCAAGTTCAGGCTCGGCGGTGCACCCCGCTCCATGAGCTACCACGACTTGGTGACCGCCCTCGGCCTAGCCGATGATAGGGAATACGTCATCGAGCTCACCGAGCCAGAGGGGGTGAACTTCAAGACACTGTACACCCGTCTCGCTCAGCCAGGCCAGCGTCCCTTCGTGGCGGGGCGGACGAAGGCCAGCACCTTGCAGCTCGACAACCGCATTCTCCACCACTTGCTGGCAAAGTCCTACACTCCACCCTCGGACAGTGCCAGCGCCATCACCAGGAGAGCCATGTACTTCATCCAGCCCATGCGCCAGGGGGATCATCTTCTCCACTTGGGTTCTGTGGTGGCAAGAACCTTCGACAAGAGTGCTTCAGGGCTGAAGAGCCTCCACTGCACTCCCCTCATCACCCGCCTGGCCACCTACTTCCAGATATCACTGCAGGGGTGCACAGAGCAGGGGGACTGACACGCCAAAACACAACACCAATCTGCGACCAAGTGTAATCGCAGACCGGGAATGCAGTAACAGGCAAGTTATATTATCAACCCGGGCTCTAGATCTACTGCTTACTCAGTGATTCTCTGTTATCTAGCCAACTAGAGTAAGTGATTGTTGTTTAAACTAAAAGCAGAAATAAAGCAGGAAATTAATCGGTTTTCTTAAGCAGGAAAGAGTCACTCGGGAATGAATCCCCCTAGCTCTTTAGTTAGGTTTCAATTGCAATTTACCCTGGGTTGATTTACTGTTGATTAGACTGCGGAAGATCCGGCAGTAGCTTGGAATCTCTTAAGCTGACCAAGCCCTCTCAGTCTAACTACCCGGCAGACGACTAGTCTTCACCGGGATAGAAAGCTGAAGCAGTAAGAACAGAAATTCACTACTGGAATTAGATTCCAGTACAAAGCAGTAAATTGATTGACTCTCGCACAACCAATTCACCACTATCAATCAAGGAAGCTCTCTTAACCTAATCAGATTCTATCTATCATAGGTTAAAGCAGAAATCAAGAGAATTTGATCAAGATTCAATTGACTCAATAAAGCATGTCTCAATCGATTAAAACCAAACAGTCATATCATCCCAAGTCATTACAATCAATCCCTAACACATGGAACTAGGGTTCTTCATCCCCAAGTGAGAGAAGGGTTCTACTCCATAGAGAGAGAAGAGAAAACAAGAATCGGATTAGTCATACTCATAACGATGAGGATAATCTGCTCCGGGACGATGATTTTCACTCCTATGACGATCTCCAGGCTCGATTCGATGAAATCCAGCTCTAAGACAGCTTCTAGGATGTGTTCTTCGTACTTTCTCTCTCTAGGGCTCTGTTTTTGCTCTGAAAACACTCTTTTCCCACTTCTGGCTCGGATTAGGCTTTAAAACCGGGTTTTCCCGAGTTGCACGGCCAGGGTGCACGGCCGTGCACCTCACCATTCTGGCCGTGCACCATGAAACGCAGCGTATCCCTTAAGTCGAACTCAGGCTTCTTGCACGGCCAGGTGCACGGCCGTGCAATCTTCAGGGCCTGCCCGTGCATCTCCTCGGCATGAGGCGCACGGCCAGCTTGCAACTGTGCACGGCCGTGCAGCCTCCCTGGTCTGCCCGTGCAGCTCCCCAAAAACCTCGCCATTCGTCCGTTCTTCGTCCAATCGACCCCAGACTCGCTCCTAAGCCTTCATTCACGTACTAGGACCTGAAATATCACAAACAAGCACAACCTAGCGTGAAATCGGCCTAAAACACGAGAATCAACACCTCAAACGGTGTAAGAACGGGGGTAAAAACATGTGTAAATGACGGTCTATCAAACTCCCCCACACTTAACCGTTTGCTTGTCCCCAAGCAAACCAAGTCAGACACTAGGTAAGCCTACACATTTCAATCAACCAACATTGGGGACAAGTCATAAAGGCACAGAACACGTGAATCGCACTGGTTTTCAAACATCAATACATGCACAACCTCAACAACAACCTGGACAACCACCACAAAGGACGTTCGAGTGCAGCAAATCGAGTAAAGGAAGAGTCTCCCTTCTGTTCACTGGCCAACCTAGACTTGATTCAACCACTTACTCAAAACAGTCAACTCATACATCTAACTCAAGACATCAGAATAGAGACCGAGCAATCTAGGTCCTCACCGGGGTACAAGAGCATATAGAAAATGAAAATGAATCACTCACTCTCGACCAGTGGGGTCAGGACAATTTGATGCGAAAGATGCGCATGCTATTTCTCTCAATCCCTATCATCTCTTCACCATGATGGCAGCCTCTAAATGCTAGAGTTCACATATGGGGTGTCATCACTAACTAATCAGGAGGTCTTAGACACAGGTTCAAATGACTGGATAGGGTCTTGGACATGGGGAAAAGGCCTTTTAGGTGGTGGAAGTATTCATAGCAAAAGGTTCCACATTTTCCAAACACACAATCACAGTCAAACAAACCGGTATTTTCTTTCTGCTATCCTGCATTACTCAATATCTTAAGAGCACAAGAGCGAAGGAGGCATAAACATCAGCATTTCCAAGCCAGACTGCTAAGAAACACTACTTACTGGGCATTATTCAGATTTTTAGTAGTGGCTCTCTTTTGCTTCCAATTTTTCTTTGTTTTTCTTTTATTTTTCTTTTCATTTCTTAAGAGAGCCACCACTCCTGCACATATTTCAAACATCCGCCCAACTTTTAAGCACTACCTCCAACACTCACATAGACTTTAGCAGAAACAGCAGAGAATTTATAAAAACCACTCTGTGGAACCTTCTAAAAGATGCAACAAGGGTGATTTTTTTTCATTATTGACCAAAAGAAAGGATAACACACGGCTCAAAGGGGCTGACTAGGGGATATGACACATCAGGACAGTCAGTTTTGGGCGTGGGCTAATCCTATGCCCCCATCATCTCAGCTAGTGACAACGTGAATGCTACACATCATGGAAGAGGGATCTATCGCACAAGAAAGAAACGAGCAGGCTCAAATCTCACATGGCTACCTATATGCTCTATCTCATATTCTGCTACCCTGAACTAGATGCATAAACGACTGTTAAGAACAAGTAATCAGATCAAGTCAGATCAAGTCACAGTTGGCAAGCAAACAGTTGAAAAACTGAACCCCTACATCGTTCTACTGCACATCTCAGTCCTCATCATAGGTTGTCCTAGTCGCAAACAAGTTGTCATGCATTAATCCGAAAACCAATCAATTCATCCATCAAAACACAGTGCCAATATGATCAAACAGCAGTACTTGGAGCCCTCAAATCGTAAGATTCGGACAGCGGACTAGGCTCCAAGCACCATCATACATATTCCAACCGATACAAAGCATCCCCCCACACTTAAGCACGACATTGCCCTCAATGGAGTAGAGGGAAAGATAAGGGGAACGATGTTACCGGGTAAGAACACTGCTGGGGGACTGGAAGTGGACCAGTCGGCGAGAAACGAACGGGAGAGTGGACAATGCTGCACAAATCGAACATCAGAAACACACTAGCACACTGTGCGTTAGGGATAAGTGTTAGCCCAGACGGCTACATCAAACCACAAAGGAAAAACCAAAAACAAAAACAAACGACACTAAGTTCAAGCTCCGCACACATGGAGCAAACACACAAAAGTCTAAAATGAAAAAGAAAACACACTGAGACGGGCAACGAGTACAGCCTACTCGTCGCCAAGATCGTCGAGGTCGATGTCGGTCATGAACGCATCATCATCAGCAGCGCCAGCAGTTCCATCATCACCGTCAGCTGAAGCAGCCCCGGCCGCACGGGCAGGCGCGCACGGCCGTGCATGGCGTCGCTTTTGGTCGTGCACTCCTGGCCGAGAGCTCGCACGGCCAGGCCAGGCATAGCGCACGGCCGTGCAAGACAATGCCATGCCCGTGCAAAGCGCACGGCCAAGCCAGGCTGAGCGCACGGCCGTGCATTGTGCACTTTTGGCCGTGCGCTTGTGGCCGAGAGCTCGCACGGCCAGGGGGGGTACCCGCACGGCCGTGCAAGTCTAGGTTCTGGCCGTGCGACTTGCTGGGGTCCCGAAATCAACCTGTTTTCGCTCAAAAACGACACATAACTATGGATCAACGTCTCAAGACTCAAAAACACACAAAATCAAAGGAAAAAGAGTAAGAAAATGCAAACCTCGGTGGGGTTGCCTCCCCACAAGCGCTTCTTTACCGTCTTTTAGCTGGACGCCAGTATGGATGCTCAGGGAAGTGTAGGATCAGGTGCCTTCAAGAGCGGATCCACATCGCTCTTGAGGTACAGCTTCAAATGGTGGCCATGCACGCGACGAATGTGGCCACCTGCATTCGCCAGCTCAACTTGGCCATCCGGTAGGATGCAAGCGAGTGAATACTCGGATGGCCAAGGAGGGGGCGGGACCAGCTCATAGTGGTCTCCGGCTTCCTTTCGAGCAGGCTTAGCTGCCGGCAGTTTCGGCCGCCACTCCTCCTTGATCTGTTCTTTGGGTGACGGAGTGGTCCGGAGTGGCGGCGAAGGTGTGGGAGGCGGTTCCTGCAAAATAGGCAGCACAGAAGGATACACGACAGACTCGTGCTCCTGGTGAGATACAGCATGCAGAGGTGACGAAGCAGGTATATTATCAGCAACAGAAAACGTTATTCGCTCCTCGCCATCCCTCAAAACTAAGGTCCCATCATGCACATCTATGAGAGCCTTGGCGGTGGCCAGGAAAGGCCTTCCCAGTATAAGAGGCACTTCTGTGTCCTCACTGATGTCCAAGATAACAAAATCCACGGGATATGTGAATTTGCCAACCTTAACCAGAAGGTCTTCCACTATACCCCTAGGATGCACTACAGATCTGTCAGCTAATTGAAGGGTCATCCTAGTAGCACGGGGTTCACCTAGGCCTAGTTTCATGAACAATTTATATGGAATAACATTGATACTAGCACCTAAATCCGCCAAGGACTTCTCTACATGCAATTTATCAATAGAGCACGGGATAGTAAAACTACCTGGGTCCTTCTTCTTCTGCGGAAGCTTGTTTTGCAGAATAGCCGAGCATTCCTCGCTGAGCTCTACCGTGGCCAGCTCATTCAGCTTCTGCTTCTTTGAGAGAAGCTCTTTCAGAAACTTCGCATACTTTGGCATTTGCGATAGTGCCTCCAGGAAGGGCACTTGGACATTCAGCTTCTTAAGCATGGCCATGAAGTTCTCGAACTCTGCCTCCAGCCTGTCTTTGTGCAACCGAGTAGGGAAAGGGAGTTTAGGGACATACTCCTTCACTACTGGTTGCGGTTTAGGTGCAGGCACCTCAACTTCCTTCTCTACTTCCTGTTCAACCGCTGGAGCCGCTAAGACAGGGCTTTCTTTCTCCGGTTCCCGAGCAGGGGGATCAACAGTCATCTTGCCACTCCTGGTCATGATGGCATTGCAGCGCTCATTCGGGGTCGGCGGGTGAGGGATGGTCTGCCCTGGTAGAGTACCAGGAGCCCTTTGAGCCACTGCCTGGGCCACGCTCCCCAGCTGGGTCTGGATATCCTGCAAAACAGCCCGTGTATTCCTCTGACCAGCTTCCAGAGCCAGGAGTTGACCCGAGGCCTTCTCCATGAATTGCTCAAAGGTGTTGAATTTCTGAGCACTAACACTGGCAAGAGAACCCACCAAGTCCCGCAGTTCAGCCATCTGATCATTCTGCACTGGGGCAGCAGGGGCTGCACCTGGCTGCTGGAATTGCCCCTGTCTGGGCTGATATGGTGGCCTCTGGAAGCCCGGTGGTCCCTGTGGAGCTGGTGGTCTGGGATTTGGCCCAGCCCAGGAGAAGTTAGGATGCTGGCGCCACCCCTCATTGTACGTGTTGCTGTAGGGGTCATTGCGCCTGACATTGTTGATGAAGTTCACCTGCTCCTGGGGTGTGGTCGATTCCTTCATCGCCTGGCAGTCTTCCACCATATGATGGGTGCTCTCGCACCACTGGCAGAGCATCGCCTGCTGCTGTCCGGTCCCTGGAATCATCCCGGAACGATCGATAGCTGAGACCAGCTTCGATACTACCTGCACCAAATCGGATGACTGGGTGCCCACAGCATGCACACCCCGGCCTGGTGCTCTCCTCGATCTCCTGGCAGTGCCCCAATCATAACCATTCTCCGCCATCTCTTCAAAGAGTTGATTCAGCTGTGGCGGGGTTTTGGTCAGCATGTTCCCGCCACAAACCGAATCGATCAGCTGCTTGTCCTCCGGGAAGAGGGCGTGATAGAAGGTGCCCACCTTGAACGCATCGTTGAAACCATGATTGGGACACCTGAGGAAAAGACTGTTGTACCTCTCCCATGCATCCCTGATGGTCTCATCCTCATCCTGAGCAAAATGTGTAATTTGCTTCTGCAGGTCAGCTGTCTTGGATGGAGGATGGTAGCGGGTGAGGAACTTGTCCGCCAGGTTGGCGAACGTGGTGATGGAGCCCGGAGATCGAGTGTCTAGCCACTCCTTGGCCTGCCCCTCCAGAGTGAATGGGAAGTACCTCAGCTGGATGGCATCTGCTGGTACCCCATTGATCTTGATTCCATCGATGAGCTCGTGGAATCGCCTGAGATGTGATCGAGGGCACTCTCCCTCCTTACCACGGAACACTACTGAACCGCGCAGCATGGTGATCACGGAGGTGCTCACCTCAAAGTTGTTGGCTGGGACCTGAGGGTGCTGAATGGGTGACCTCATGTCCGCAGCTCTAGCGGTCCAGTAGGATCCCATGGTTTGCTCCTCAGGGATCATATCATGGTTCCCTGGTTCAGCCATCTCTTCTTCTTCCTCCTCTAACTGCAGTTGTGATAGCGCCTCCTCCGCAGCCAGTCGCGCCTTTAGAGCCCGCTTGAAGTTTCTGCAGGTTCGTTCAAGCTCCTGGTCTAGTGGTAATAGATCTCCCGACTGGCTACGGGTCATGCACTACCTGCACACAATCAGCAGAAACAACCCGTGAAGGCACACAGGCGGAAGAAATAAAAAGCAGAAAATAAAAAGCTAGAGTAACAAATTCTCACTTTTCCCCAATAACCTAGAGGGTTCCCCGGCAACGGCGCCAAAAACTTGACACGCCAAAACACAACACCAATCTGCGACCAAGTGTAATCGCAGACCGGGAATGCAGTAACAGGCAAGTTATATTATCAACCCGGGCTCTAGATCTACTGCTTACTCAGTGATTCTCTGTTATCTAGCCAACTAGAGTAAGTGATTGTTGTTTAAACTAAAAGCAGAAATAAAGCAGGAAATTAATCGGTTTTCTTAAGCAGGAAAGAGTCACTCGGGAATGAATCCCCCTAGCTCTTTAGTTAGGTTTCAATTACAA